TCGAATGCATTAGAATTGTTACTGAACTTGTTTGTAAATTTAGCACTGATTACAAAAATACTTAATTAATGGGCAGTTTGAAATGGGCCGTACATTTTCAGCCTGTCTCGGCCAGGTACTATCTGTGCATTTAAACAGGCATAAAATGATTTTCTTTCCAATTTCTAAAAAAAACACAAACAATATTTTGTTCTTTTTATTGGGTAAAAGAGTCAAGGAGACTTGTGCTAAGATCATTAACACATTTTTTTTCTTTTCTTTTTCATCAAAATCTAGATGTTTAAAAATAGACATATCCTGTGAGGTAGCATATTCTGACAAAGTAACAATAGATACAATTTGATATTACGGCAAAATAAATATTTTGCAGTGTTCTGTAATTTATATAGGAACTGTTTTAGGCTAGAAATAATGTGTTCAATTGAGTTTTACCAGTTACCCTCCTGATTTGTGCAATGACAGATAATAAGTACAGTATATAGTCTCTGTGACTTAAAGGTTAATGACCTGGTAAATTCTGGTTGGTATTAATATGGTATCGCTGTCTGAGAGCAAAGGTAAACAAACAAACATTTGATTGCAAACATCATGTGACCATTACCGGTATTCCTTGTCAGAAATGTAGGAAAAACAAAGCTACTGAAATAATCCAAAAAGTGGTATTCCTTTCACAAATATATATACGTTATAATCACTTTCTTTCTAGGTACAAATTTTAGGAAACAAAATTAATTGTTGCATCTGTGCAGAGCTACAATCTGTTTCCTTATAGAAATCGATGTTCAGATGCTTCAAACAGGTTTGATATGTAACAACACATCAGTAGACTAATTGTATTTTATACATATTTATAGCCATAGGAAACTGCCATCCTAATGTCTCTTGGCAGAATATATGTGTTAGGATTTATTGGGGGTATTTTTCTGGGTTTTCTGGTATTTTCCAGCATTGTTTCCCCTTAGTGCAGGATGGACAGACTGACAAGGACTGTCTAGGCATTCAGATGGTACGTAGAAACGAGGTCCCATGTACATGTTGGTGTGCATGTAAACGAGCTCTTGATAGTTAGAATTCAAAATAATAGTAAACTGTAGTGCTGCTGTGAGGGAAGAATTTACTACCTCATAGCACACTGCTAGATGTACACCCATCTTCATTAACTTAGTCATGCAGTACAGTAGGACGTTAAACAATATTTCATTTCATTTGTATTTTTCTGGTTGATAGAGGAATCATTATTAAATTTGCATATTAATATTAAAGATAGGTTGCTAGCATTGTCAGGCAATGAAACATAAGCCCTCAGCAGGTAAGTTGTACAAGCAGTTGACAAGGGTTGTTGCATATTTATTCTTTTGTAGGTAATGGGGGCATTTACTATAAAATGTTATTTTCATACGGATCGAATGATAATTTTTTTCATTCGAGCATTCGCAAGGTACTACAAAGTGAATCAATATGGTCATAGGTCTAGAAGTAATTAACAGAAATGAATGAAATTCAATGGGTTTCTTCATATGTATATTAATTTAAATAATGCATTATCAATGCAATATAGATCGCATGATAACTTTTTTGTCTTTCACAAAGTGAAACAAGGGCCAATGCTCTGGAAGAAAGTGTTGAAATTAAATAGGCTTTCTTGCTTCACTGATGTAAATATTAAAATACAAATCGGATGATATCTTTTGTTGTTACAGTCTTCACAATAATGTACAAAGTGAAGCAAGTGTCATAACCCTAAAATTAAATAAGATCCTTTGTGTCACTAATATAAACAACATTTTGAAAATTCAAAAAGTAGCCTGTAGAGTGTTCACAAGAAATTGTAGATGATGAATGGAGTGGCCTGGTTTTGACAATACAACCACATATATATCTGAGAATCTTCCTATAAATAAAAACTAGTAACATAACACAAGGTGGAATTGGACATTAAGTCTTAAGAACAAACAAACCAATTACAGACGGTTTGATAGCATCAATTTTGACTAAATCAAAATGATGCATTTGATATTAAAATAAGTTGATATACAATAATATTTAGAATACAATATAAGAAGTGCTCACTAACTCAGGGATGAAGAATTAAATTAAATTTCCCTGTGGGCATATAAAAGTACGGTGGCTGATTTAGGACACACAAAAAAGAAATGATATCTCGAGCGGTCGAGATATTAAGTCGAGCGCTCGAGATACTAGGTCGAGCACTCAAGATAGTTAAGTCAAGCACTCAAGATAATTAAATCGAGCGCTCGAGAAAATTAAGTTGGCGCTCCATCACTGCAGCTTTGGATGGGCTGTAAAAATGAACAAATGAATATCTTTATTCTGCAAGTTTATCATTAAATAATGCACAGAATTATACAGATTAAAACATCGGTTGACCCGTGTTCGATTGTATTATATCGAGCGCTCGACTTAGTATCTCGAGATATTTTTTTTTTTTTGCGTGTCCTAAATCAGCCACCGTATAAGAGTAATGTGTCAGATTAAATCCTTAAATATTATTCGACAAGACATTACACTATGAAAAAAGAAAGCAATGATCATCTGAACATACACAGTTCTTGAACATACATGTAGTACAAAATTGATTTTTTCGTGATCAATATCTATTTATGAAAGTTAATCAACGGTGAGTCATCATTGCGTGCTTCTTTATGTGAGCTTGCCATTCAGTGTAGAATAGCAGTTTTCTGTTCTGGGGTTACAAGAGAATAATTAATTGTCCACAGATCCTTCACATGCCATTAGGCAATGGGTGTTCTTTGGGCTCAGTGCTAGAAAATTAAATCATGTATTTTGTATGAAGTTGATGTTTTGAAATAAGAAACTATTAATTCAAGCAGTTACTGAATGAGTACCGCTCAACAAGCAAACAAAAACACAAACCACAAAGTACAGGATCTTGCCAACATCAACTAGAAAGGGTTTTATATTTTGACGAAAAGGCCAACTGTTGAATATGCTATATCTTTAGTCAGTTGCTCATCTGGCATAAACAAATTATATTTATTCCTTATTCTTCAGATGGAAGTTCGAACAAATGTCGTTTCTATGTGTGATATGGTAGTGAATTAGATTTGTTAATGTAAAGATTTTCTGTATGCTCCAGGCAAATTAGGTTGACTTGAAAGGGTAAACACTGACTGATCTTCTTCCAAAAAACTCTGAATGAAATTAAGATTAAACTGTACATTAACATCTTTTCAACAATCACTAATTATCTGATATACGCACAAGTAAATGGGGGTACAGGGGGCTAAATTAAGAAACAAATGTGTATTTAACTGATAATTTTTCAACCTTGTGAACAAACGGATAATATTTCATGAAGGCAAGGTCCTTGGTCAACAGCCAAAATTTACTTTCTGATAAGCTGCCGTCTATGGATATCATTTTTTTCGAAGCATATCTACTGTGTGGGCGTGATTTTTTTACTTTCTGTTCGTATGTTGTTTTTTTTTTTCATTTTCTGTTAACATGTTTTTACATATATAGATTTCATTTTGTTGATGTCAAAAGTGCTGTGGTGAAATAGTTGTATTTAAAGTAGCTTAGTCTCTAACTCAACATCATCCAAAGTCTTCGACATTGTAAACAAGAATTATTGGTCAATTTAAATCAACATTGATGTTGTGATCTGACCGGGAAAAGATAAGCTTCTGATATCCAACATTTCAGACAAAATATACATTTTACTATGTATTGGTACACAAATCGTGTACCATAATGTGTTTCAGCGTCATTTGTAACACGGGACTCGAAGAACGAGGCTAGACATATTCCACAAGTCATGTCAAACGGTAACGTCATATTTTATCTGGAGAGCATGCGCGATAAATACTATAGGTGTAGACTGGAATAACCAGACGCTAGAGATTGCCATTGATTGAGACTTCGGGCATATTTCGCCGTACATAACTGATTTCAAATTAGGGTAAAAACGGAAACGATTGAATGTAAATCAGTTTATATACATTCATATTACATTATTATATGCGTTGCGAGTTGCTACCCATTTGTGTCAATTTCTAAATCCCAAATATTAGCGACTTAGCTCCTTTAAATCAATTTCATGATACAACAGAACAATGTCTGGAACTATAGATTATATCTGACTATAAAGGATAAGCAATTATCAAAGTAATTTACCAAAGCTTATATATATCAGACTAATTTTTAGAAATATATCATCATATGTAAAGTGCCCCAAGACCTATGTCAAAATTACTCAAATGCTCCTTTTTCATAGTCAAGACTATGATTGGTCACAACTGTGACAAGTTATTTTATGGTAAAACCAAAATCTATTCCATTTTGAACTAAACATGATCTATTGATATAACAACACTAGATCTGGTATCTTATTACATTTTAGTAATATAGGGAACTCTTAAAATCCATGTGTCAAAGTTAACCTGAATTTAAAGTTACTCTGTGCTACTGTATTGTGTGCCTTGACTTAGAGAGAATTTACCTCAGTCTTTTGTTCATGACGGAATGTGATCTTATGATTATACAGTGTTTGCCGCACGTTTTTGATATTTGCTTAGTTGAGAAAAATTTTTTTTTTTTTTCTGTAACCTACATTTAGTTAAATTTGTATGAAAATTGTAAAACTCTAAACAAATATCAATTTATTACTAAACTTAGTTAACACGAAGTCCATTTACACTTTACATGGTTAATGCGTTAAGCAAGTTATTATATAATAACCTATGAATGTTCAGTTGTTATTTTCTCAATCACTAAATGCCACTAAAATATCAAGTAAAATCCAAGTTACCATAGATTTCACTTTGTGTTCTCAATTTTCCAACTCATCGCTTCATCTTTTGGGATATTGATGTGTAAAGATTTTTTTTAAAACACTCTGATGTGAGATGTGTATCTTTAATTTAAATGAAAAGAAACCATAAAAAGCAATTACAAAGAACTTTCATTCTAGCAACATTTCATATTTTGTTATAATGCAATTGTTTTTTTTCCCTTAGAATCCTGAACCACAAAGTAAAATAGATGAAACCAGTCTGACTGGTAGCATGAGTTCTGATGCAAGCAGCGATGACTTCAAGACAGAAAGAGGAAACTGGAAGGGAAAGATGGACTTCCTCCTGTCATTGATTGGCTATGCTGTGGGACTTGGAAATATTTGGAGATTTCCTTATCTTTGTTACAGAAGTGGAGGAGGTATGTAAAAAGATTTGAAATATTTTGGGATGACAGTAGATCTTGTCAGGCGTTTTACTTCAATAGGATCACCATTGACCTTCAAAATACTGTTTTATAAAGAAGATAAACAATGTTTAGATAATGAACTATACTTATCAGGACATTTCGCTTTCATTTTCTATGGTATAAACAGAGACACTAATTACTGATGAATATTATTTACATGAATGTAAAATATGGCAAATAACGAGGTGCACTGTGTTTTTTGGGTAATCATAAATTTTATTCAGAGTAGTTTCTGTTAATCCCAACTAAAAATGCACTTACAATTGCTTTCGGCAGTAAAGTTATTATGAGATTGACTAAACTGTGAAACACAGCGTTTATGTTCATGAGATGAACTATCTTATTGATAACCAAAGATTTCTGATAATTACTGTCACAGACTCACAGTTATTGTACTTGATCACTTTGAAAAAATTGGTGGAGGTTCTATATAAAAATTTAGTTAATCTGTAATTTGAGGCATGATTAGTCTGATTCCATAAGTGATGGATCTTACTGTTGGTTTGTTTACAATATTATTAAATGTTGACTTTATTCCAGGAGCATTTTTGATACCATACTTGTTCTTTATGGTGGTGTGTGGTATGCCACTTTTTTTTATGGAGATTGCATATGGTCAGTTTGCTAGCTTGAGCCCTGTCACCATCTGGTCAATAAGTCCATTATTTAAAGGTAATTATTTACAAAAATTATTGAATTTTAAGACCTTATACCCACACTGTCAACAGCAGGGGGGGGGGTGCAAATGGTTAACTCATACACGTTGGATCAGAACGTCTGTCATTGAGTCAAGCGGTGTGGTTTCGATTCCCCACTTGTACATTTCAAAGAGTAGGGTTGCCTGTCCATCCTCGTGGGTTTTCTCTGGGTCCTCCAGTTTCCTCCCTCTGCTAAAGACCCTTACTCACAAGCAAATTATTGAAATAAAATTGAACCATATGTTAGTCCCGAAATGACCTAGTTTATGTCAAGTGGATGACAAACCCAATTTCACTCTCTTTCTCTCTGTATGTGTATTTTTAAGCAGTTGCCATGCAAGATACGCCCACATTTTTCAAGAGATGGACAGAGAACAAACTAAACAGAAAAGCAATGTTTAGTTCAATAAGTGGCCATAATCCAGGAAGTTAGGGTTTGATTAGCGCAAATATCAACAGAATCCCAGATCAGGAAGTTACGGTTGGATATGTATGAATATCAAAAGGAACCTAGATCTTATGGTTATAACCATATATTTTAAGTTTCATCAATAAAAATTATGATCTCTTAGAGAGTCCACAACCTTGGTATTACACACTTTTGCACTATTTGCTTACAAAGAGAGGCCATTTTGTTGGGGAGTTGTGGTCTGATTTTCACGAAATTTGAACTCAACCGTCATTAGAGAGTAACAGTGATATTTGTGAACATTTTTTTTTATCGGATAAATTGTGACCTCTAGAGGGACCACAAGTTAAAAACAGGATTTTTCGTACAATCAGGAGCCATAATCCAGGAAGTTGCAATCCAATATGTGCGAATATCAAAAGGAACTGAGATCTTTGAGTTATAAACATACATTTTAAGTTCCATCAAAATCGGAAAAAGATTGTGATCTCTAGAATACCTACAAGCTAAAAACATGATTTTGCGTACAATCAGGGTCCATAATCAATTAAATTACGGTCCGATATATGACAATGTCTATAGGAAACGAGATCTGTGTGAGATAAACCTATATTTCAAGTTTCGGCAAATTAGGATAAGAATTCTGACCTGTAGAGTGTCCACAAACGAAATGTTAACGGATGTCCGGACGGACAGGGGCGACTGCAATATATGTCCACACGAAAATGTGTGTATAGAAATATTATAATGATTTAGGGAATATCATCCATTTTTTTTACATTGTCTTCTCTCAAAGGACTTGATGAATTTTAAAAAAATGTGGTTGGCACTGTATTGTGTGGGTGGTGTTTATTCAAGAATTGTTGGGGAGTTGTGGTCTGATTTTCACGAAATTTGAACTCAACCGTCATTAGAGAGTAACAGTGATATTTGTGAACATTTTTTTTTATCGGATAAATTGTGACCTCTAGAGGGACCACAAGTTAAAAACAGGATTTTTCGTACAATCAGGAGCCATAATCCAGGAAGTTGCAATCCAATATGTGCGAATATCAAAAGGAACTGAGATCTTTGAGTTATAAACATACATTTTAAGTTCCATCAAAATCGGAAAAAGATTGTGATCTCTAGAATACCTACAAGCTAAAAACATGATTTTGCGTACAATCAGGGTCCATAATCAATTAAATTACGGTCCGATATATGACAATGTCTATAGGAAACGAGATCTGTGTGAGATAAACCTATATTTCAAGTTTCGGCAAATTAGGATAAGAATTCTGACCTGTAGAGTGTCCACAAACGAAATGTTAACGGATGTCCGGACGGACAGGGGCGACTGCAATATATGTCCACACGAAAATGTGTGTATAGAAATATTATAATGATTTAGGGAATATCATCCATTTTTTTTACATTGTCTTCTCTCAAAGGACTTGATGAATTTTAAAAAAATGTGGTTGGCACTGTATTGTGTGGGTGGTGTTTATTCAAGAATTGTTTCCATAGAATGAGTTATGCATGTTGCTTGGGTGGTGTTTATTCAGTTTTCTTCAAATGACCCCTGGCGCCAAAGACAAATTAAAATATTTTAGAGTTTTCCCCTGAGCAAATTTTTGATTTTTTTCTTCCTTTATGATTATATTATTAGAACTGATTTAAGATCACTGATTTAAGAAACAATTATCTGGTTTACAATATCATAAATCATCATTTACACTGAAAAAGTTTTAATTGCAATGCATGTTGAAAGAAACAGCATTCTGATTTTAGCAACAAAGTCTACAATGGGTTGTTGTGGTCTTTGTTATGCATATTAGGTTATGTTGATTTATTAAACCAACTATGAAAATGTCATAACAAGATTTGATAACTTAAACTACTGGCTACACATTATGCTATATTTTGCTTTTTTGTATAGTTACATGACTGCACATGATTTTGCATTGTACTTTATGAAGCTTAAAATCTGTTTATTGGCTTCAAATTGTAATTTCGCAATCAATATGAATTGACAAAAGAGAGTGCACATGACTAATAATCTACAGTTATAGATTGTATTCAGCTATAGTTCTTCCCTGTCCTATGCCGCTTTGAAAAACTTTAATTATCAATAATTTTGTCAATTTTTTTTTATGAAATCATATAATTTTGCATATATGTAGAATATGCATATCTATAACATACTTCGGGGCTTTTGACAAAAGAACGCTCTTGTCGGTTCTTGTCAGTGATTAACAGTACCCAAAATTAAATACACTAAAAAATAGACAGTTGGCAATAACTTAAATAACTTACTCAAATTTATATAATGAAATATAAACAGTTGGCAATAAATTAAATACACTCATTCAAAGTTATATCATGAAATATAAACAGTTGGCAATAAAAAGCATTTTGTAAAATTTGTTTTGCATCATGGAAAGTTACTATACTCCAATGAAATATGAACACAAATATTTATATTGTTGTTATTTGATACTAAATTTTATTTTATTTAAATTCAGGTGTTGGTTATGGTATGGTTATTATATCTGGTATTGTTTGTATCTACTATAATATTATTATAGCATGGACGCTATATTATTTATTTGTCTCCATGCAATCTGTTCTGCCATGGAGTAATTGTGATAATGATTGGAATACAGAACAATGTGCTTTAAGTGGGTCCATGAATAGCACAGTATCTAATTATTCAACAAATGGAAACTTTTCATCATTTATGTTAAATAGTACTTTAATGGCTTCAAATGTAACCAAGATTCCACCAAGTCAGGAATTTTGGCAGTAAGTATGCTTGCATTTTTAATGAAATAATTATTTCAAAAGTTAATAGAAAATAATTGTGTGGCTGTTCATGTTTATTAATTATGATATAGAAGACATCTGACAGGACAAAATTCTTTTAATAATATTCATACTAATATAAACAATTTTGATGTTCTTGAAATCAGTGGGTGAATAAAGGACTTGGGTGTCTTATTTGTATTGCAGAAGACAAGTTTTACAACTTACTGAAGGTATTGAGAATCTTGGTGGTATTAGGTATGAATTGCTTGGTTGTTTAGCTCTGGCCTGGGTCATTGTATTTCTGTGTTTATGTAAAGGTGTTCAATCCTCTGGAAAAGTAAGTATTCTAATATGATTGCAGCTCTTTGGAAAATCTTTCTACATGCAAAACATTTTCAGCATTTTCTTGGGAAAATGAAAATTTACTAATGTATTAAACTAGTTAAATATGCTGTCATTGCCCTCTAAATAGTACCATTGAATTACATAATTAAATTAAAATAATCAAAACACTGACAAGCTTGTAATTTCCATTTATATACATATAGGCTATACTCTGCCATGCTATGCTGATATCTCATTCAAATTTTATATGTCATATCTGTTGTTGGTTATTAATTTTAGACAAAACAATACATATACTGGTTAAAAAAGCATTTTTCCAATTTTTGTTGAGATCAAAATCTTACTTCCAAAAACTCCTCAGTTCTCTGTTTGCTTTCAGCAGCAACCATTTTTACACGCCCACATGGAAATGTGGATGTATATATTGCCATCCCCCTGTCCGTCTGTCGGTCCTTCTGTCGTCCACAAAGTTATCATCCGATTGTTTAAAAATCGATATATATTGTTTACATTACTGAGATGAAGAAGCTTTTTTAATTTCAGTATTTCCATTATGTTCCTTGTTTCACTTTTTTTGCACCTTGTGAATGCTCTAACATCAAAAGTTATCTGTCGATCTGTATGAAATTTATGTGCAGCATTCAAATTAGTAGAAAGAAGAATCCTATTGAATTTCAGCAATTTGAAATTTACATGCGTCATTTAAATAAGTGAAAAGAAGAATCCTATTGAATTTCAACAATTTCCGTTTATTATGTCTAGAGTTATGGCCCTTGTTTCACTTTGTTGAACCTTCTTAACCTTCTAACGCCAAAAGTTATCATCCGATCTTTGTGAAATTTATATGCATTATTTAAGTTATGGCCCATGTTTCACTTTGTTGAACCTTGTGAACGCTCCAAACCTTGTGAACGCTCTAACACCAAAAGTTATCATCCGATCTATATGAAATTAATATGCATCATTTAGATTAGTGAAATGACGAAGCCTATTGAATTTCAGCAATTACAAAAATTACTTCTAGAGTTATAGCCCTTGTTTCACTTTGTTCAACCTTGTTAATGCTCTATTGATGAAAGATATTATCCGATCTGTATGAATTTTATATGCATTATTTGAATTGGTAAAATGAAAAAGCCTGTCAAATTTCAACAATTTCTGTAAATTAGTTCCAGATTTAAGGCCTTTGTTTTAGTTTGTAGAACCATGTGAACCCTCAAACGACGAAAATTATTATCTGATCTGTATGAAATTGTCTTGTAAGTGCCCCCAATTACCTACAAAAGAATAAATATGCGTCAACCCTTGGGGACTGTTCGGACGATTTAGCTGCTGTGGGCGTATGTTTAGTTGCCTGGCAACCTATCTTCGTATTTATAATAGCCTTATGGCTGGCGACAACTTTGTATGGTTATCTTTATTTTCTATTATCAGGTTGTATATGTAACTGCTACCTTTCCCTACCTGGTTTTAGTTATTCTATTAGTACGAGGTGTAACTTTACCTGGCGCCATGGATGGTCTTAGATTCTACCTGATTCCTGATTGGGACAAACTCTTTACATTAAAGGTATATTTTGCAAAGATCATAATTTAGATGGCCCAAAAAATAAATAATACAGCCATTTTGTTCTTGTTGTTAAGTGAATTGAGTGGTGTTAAGGTTGAAATAAGTAATTGTGAAATGTTCATAATCAAAGATGAAATATTAATGTACAGTTCAATCATAGATTTTACAAAAGAATGATAGGCGTATATTTTGTTGTATAATTGTGTATAAACTTTCAGTCTATATTTTATTGTATAATTGTGTATACATACATTCAGAATCTGAAGGGTAATGGTTTGGTATGGTAGTAAAAATCATATCTTGTTAAATTTTCTCTCGATTTTCTACTTCAGGTATGGGGTGATGCTGCTGTACAAATATTCTATTCTATGGGTATGGCTTGGGGTGGTTTAATTACCATGTCTTCTTACAATAAATTCAATAATAATGTTTACAGGTAGGACTTCTTCTTTTCATCTTCTTATGACCTCCAAGCAAATACGAAATATAATTACTTCTATTTCATAATGATAGACATTGTCTGAATAATGCTGTAAATGGATCCACTAATTATCTGTTATGATGTTTAGCCTTAAGCAAGAAAGATGTTATTGTCTGTGAACAAAATCATTTTGAATTTTCAGAGATGCTATTATGGTCCCGCTGATGAACTGTGGTACAAGTATTTTTGCTGGTTTGGTTATTTTCTCGATTCTGGGTTTTATGGCTAAAGAAACTGGTGTACATATATCTGAGGTCGCTACACAAGGTAAATACCCTTAATTTCTTCTTTTTTTTTTTTAAAATGACTTGTTCTTCTTAAAATTTGATGCAAGTTTTATGAAAAGATTTAGTTACCAAATGACTTGTTCTTCTTAAAATTTGATGCAAGTTTTATGAAAAGATTTAGTTACCAAATAAGTGTAATGATTTGATCTTGTAGTAGGCCTATATTTGACAAAGTCAATCTGTTCTTTATTTAGGTCCAGGTTTAGCTTTTGTTGCCTACCCAGCAGCCATTTCCAGATTACCAATATCTCCATTGTGGGCTATTTTATTCTTCTTAATGTTGTTGACCGTTGGTCTCGACACACAGGTAACATTTATGTTGTAGTTCTAGTGGTAAAATATTAACAGGTTAGCGTTTAATTTTAATGACAGTGAACTGCATTGGTAGGAGACAACATTAGATTGGTTCGCAGTATCAGGGTGTAGATTAGTACAACGGTTGACTGGTTGAAAATAAGTAACGGCAAAAAGGTATTCGAATCTGAGTAAATGTATTTTCAGTAATTGCTATCTATACACAAATGGTTTTACAAGATATCCTATATAAAATGCATAACATGTAATTGTAAACTGTCGTTTGATTGTTAGCCATGTATGTTACATGAAATTTTTTATTCAATATGATTGGACACATTTTTTTGTAAAAAATGAATGAAAATTCCAAACAGACTAGGTGTCTGTAGAAATGGGATGTCTATGCCCATTTATGGATTTGGCTAAAAACAACATGGCACCAATTAACATGACTGTACGGTAGTCAAGACAACTGATCATAAATAATTGGGGAATACAAGGTGTAATATTTTTATAACGTGTAAACTGTGACTAATATAACTGATCAATTCTCATGATTCATCTTTTTATACCTTTTAGAATTGACAATATTGCTTCAGTTACATATAATCTGGATTTCAAATGATATTCCCTGTTACCTTTGAATTAAAACCTTACTTTTAACAACTGAGTATTTTTTTTTCTTTTCCAATAAAAGTAAAGTTTTATTCAATTTATTCTTGACTTGTTGTTGCTGACTTCCCTCAGCCATTTTTACCAGACAATATTTCTAATACAAAGAAAAATTAAATATATTTGTTTGCAAATTGTCTTCACCCCCTGACCAACTTGGCCTAGGCATCTGGTCAGATAAACTTATATATTCATGTTTTATACCAATAAATAATTTTGTGTATAAAAGTGAGGTTTCATTTCTAACTAGTGGATATCTAACAGAAATTTCTTGATCAGTTATATTAGTTTCAGGTCAAATAAGTTCAGAAAGTAATTGCTACAGCATATTAAAAGGTGTACAAAAAACCTCAAGGCAAATGCTAGATGTGCGATAGATAAAATGACATTGATAATTGTTTATAATCTGAAGAATCTAATGTTGTCTGGTTTCATTTTTAGAGCTTAATTGAAAGATTTCCAGAAAAAAAACCTATTTATTAATTATTTTTTTAAAAATTGCAATGTTTGAGCCAAAAACCATATTCACTGATGCAGTTGACTGTGACATTGTTATGACAACCAACCATAAAACTTACCCAGAGTGATTAAAGGGCATTATTCAATGAACAACCATATTTAAATTGATAGGGTACCCTACCAATTAAAATACGCTGTGGTGTTGATTACAACTCTCAATTCATTTTACTCAATTATATTTATGCTCACTGAAAACAAATGTTCTTATCACAAATAAATTAATACTGATGTTTTCAAATTAGAGAATAGGGGTCCACTAGTTGCCATAGCAACACGATTTATGACCTTCATATAATACCAGGAAAAACTTAATTATATTTCTTTGAATCTTTATTCCATTCACTGTACATTTCAAAATTACAGTATTATTTTTTGACACAAGAAAAAATTTCCTTTTTTAAAGCTTTGTACAATTTGTTCACATTATATTATTACGTTTTTGAAATGAAGAAAATAATGGGTCTAGATAATTTTGCTTCTGTCTAATTTAATAGAGTTTGAATCCATTGATATTTTCAATCCATAAACGTTTTAATAGAAACATTTGAGCAAATTGAGCATATAGAAAAATGATGTGTCTCAAATTAATGAATTTATAATATCCACTAAATAACAATGGCAAAGATGGACCATACAGTAAAAAGATTTCCCCCATTAATGGGATATTGCCAAGACCTTGAGAACACTACTGATTTCATACTCTACAAATGTAACGAAAATTACCATAATAAAGAATTGTTCAATGTCAACTTGCTGCTAATGTAAATCGCCTTTTCTCATGTTTGATGTTGACAATTTATGTACTGGATAATCAAGGCATTCAACTTCCCAAGATTAGTATCTTGTTTATCAAGGCACTTGGGCCATGCTCAGTGTTGAATGATTATGGTAGTACAAATGCTATATTTTTGTTCCATAACCATTTAATGTACAAATCATATGCATTAAACAAAGCTGTTCAGTAATGTCTGGCAATATCCCTTTAATTTACATTAATTTTATAATAGGTCTCTGAAATAACATTGTGGTTGTCATGACAAGTCAGTATAATGAAAACAAAATTGCATGAGATAATCTGCTTCTTGGTTTGCAAAAAGGGTTAATTTGAATAGCTAGATTTTAAGGGTTTTTTTTAATGCTTTAAATGCAACAGTTCATTAAAAAGGTTTTTTTTTTTTGCAGTTTGGGAAATATTTCATTTTTTTTTTTAAATTTAAAATCTAACAAAGTAACCCTCTGCTTTTTATGAAAAATCAATGAGATACAGTTTATTATCAGATATAATAATTCTATATTTCTTTTCTAGTTTAGTTTTCAGCATATGAAAGTTGAGTGATTGTGAGATTAGGCGTGGTTGCATGATGACTGAAAATGGGCGAAGTAGGGCGTGGTTGTAGTGTTGGGTTTTTAGATTAAGGGGGGTAATTTAATATTGCGAAAGGGCGTGAGTGCTAAACGCGACTATGGATTAGCCCCTATGGATGAAAGCAGATTTTTTCCAATGCCAGGTACACGTAAGTGATAGATCTTAAAATTCAACACGCGCAATTAATTTTATTTGTATAAAAAAAATTTAAAAATATCTCATGCGGTGAAATTTGTATGTTTGTTCTTTAACTCTTTAACTACTGAATACTTTTCAGGAAAATTCAGCTTTTCGATCATTCTTCTGTTAAGTAGCCATAACCCATAAAATATTGAAATTAGGTGTCTAAAGGTATATATTGGCATAATCCTAAAGAGATTTCCCATTCAAGTATACAAATTATATTTTGTTAAAGTGTTTCAGTAAATTAGCTAAAATTTAATAGTCTCTGCCAGCCTCCAGCAGATTATTCTAAATAAATCTACATTAGACAGCAATTAAGAAATTAGACAAAAAAACCCAGGTTATTAAATATTTTAAAAACGAAACACTGTCCTCTCAGATAACTGAACTACCGTCTGCTGAGAAGACAATCTACACTGGTATCTTCATTTCATAACTTGATCAGTATACAAGGTTGGAGGTAAATTCCTCATATAGTAATTTGGGAAATCCCTTCATTTATACTATCAACAAAAAATGTGTTTGATTATAATAGTCTGTCTGGTTGGCCAGTTTTCATCATTTACATATTTATCAGCCAGTAGGGGATTGTGTTTCATAACATGTAAGCAAGCCACTAGCACTGGCTTGCCGGGTTAGAATAATGAAAGCAGGAAGCCACTATCACCAGCTCATCGTAGTTAAAGAGTTAATATTTGAATCAATGACTTTTTTTCAAAAGAAGAGAGTTGTTTTTAAGTGAGAGTGGCGGTGTAAGATTGGGTTAGGGATGGTTTGGGAATCAATACAAATAAAACTTTGGGTTTCTTTTCCTCTGAGGGTGGAGGAGGTTAGCATGAAAAGACAGAATTTAATCAAGCCTAAAAACAAAGTATTGTATATCACTATAGAAAACAAAGAATTGAAAGTGTCAGATTTGTAAATGAGAAAGTATTTTTACTCAAGTTTTCAGTTAAAAATTGTTTGAAATATGTTAACATTATTTGTGTAAATATAGTTAATTTCCATATATAAAGAAATGTTTTTGAATTAAAGATATTTTTAAGATCACTATGAAACACTGAGTAAAAATACATCTTATGGGAGATTGAATAAGGAACGAAGTTATGTACTTTGTAAAATTATTTGAAGCAAAGGATGCTATTAACAAAGGCTGAACTCGAACCCAAAACAGTCATGTTTTAGGGTAGCTAAAACAAATACTTATAGCGCAATACAAAACAAATCACCATTGTGTGGATTAATATTGCCTCTTTCAATGCTCAGTTATGATTTAATTTTTAACATTGAAAAAGCTCTGTAAAATAATCCATGGTACATGTGCATTTTTGCTACAATATGATGGCGATCTGAAGAAAGTTTTTAAGACAAATTTTGATTTGTTTTCATAACCTTTTTTCAGAATATTATACTTTTCTGTTATAATATATACATAATTTTCACATATTGCAATAATGGTACAAAACTTTTTCAAATAACAAAATTAGATCTATTTTCAAAAATGATCAATTTCAAGTTTATTGGTAACAAACCTCAAAACCATATAACATGAGCTTCATAATTGTTTTAAAAAGAATAGTTTGACTTAGAAATTGAGCATTGAAAGAGGTAGCTGATTATGAATATACAATTTACTGTGGAGTATTTTGTAGAACTAAGGTAACCCAACAAAACTTCACTGAATTAATTTAACTGCACACTTGAAACACTAGTCTTCATCTTTAATCTTATTAAGAGGGTAGGCCACAGAATTGCACTGAACAATAACTGAATAAGATAAATCAGCCATGGTTCTATATTTCTTGGATAAGAGTTAGTTGTCAAATAAATTAGAGGGAGGTTTTGAAGAAATGATCTGTATTTCTAAATGTATCTGCACTGTCAAAATATTCAAAGAACAGAATTATCCACATTATTTTAAAAATTCTTATCCTGTCTTTCATTTTCTATTCAAAATTCTTTCCCTGCGTTCAAGCGATAATTATTGAAATATAATATACCTGAGATTAGAACTGAAATGACCTAGTTTGTTTATTGGATGAATATTAAAATCCTTTTTTTTTTCTCTCTCTCTGTTCCAACTTTGTCTGAAAAATACATCATTTTCACAGTTGGAAATCGACAACAAAAAATATGAATAATATGTTAGTTACCTAATTATTTTAATGAAGCTAATACCCTCATTTACTTTGGCAATAGTACAACAAATGTGAACCTACATAATATATCAAACTGTCAAAGTTTGAAAAGGTCACATGGAACATCAAAATGTTATTATTCATATCTCATGCTTGTTCATAAACAGGAATAGCCCTTCTATTTATTATAAATCCGTAATGAAAACTAACTTTACAATATTTTAAAACAAAATAAAACAGTTTTTAAAAAAAAGAGAAGGTAATATTAAACAATTGGACAAATTGTATCTCAACTTTAATATAAGGTTTTAAGACGTAAGATATAAATAACTTAGTATACTCTAAATTAAATAAATTCTTTTGAAAAAAATACTAAAAGCAAAGAAAAATTGTGTATTTTACAGAAAATCCAACATGAGATGTCTAGCCGATTGAAAGTGAGGTTAATTATTGGTTTAAGTTATAGTTATATGGGCACACTAGGTAAGGTATCAATAACCTCAGCCTTTGTTATAATAGATTATTGTTTCTATTTGTAATGCCTGTCTCTGAAGTCAGCTATGGTCAAGATTTGGAGAAGAGAATGGTTTGACCTTGAAAACTGGTACAAGGGACATTCAATATCATTTGTCCAAGTGTTGATTGTTTTACAAAAAATTATCTTTTATCTTTAAATCAAATTTCTATCAAAGATTTTGTCTAAAATAAAATAATTTTATTTTAAATTTAGTCTATAAAATCTGTAACTATGGTGTCTTATTTGACAATATTTGTTCCAATCATATTTATCATGAATCAGGTTATTGACATTCCCAGAGCAATATCAAGAACAGTTGAATATAGAATGTTGTAATCAACATTTTAATATTATGTTAAATAATTTATCGACTGTTGTGCAAAGTTTGTAGTCGATTAGATAAAAATGTGTTTGGTTAGATTTGCCTGACATTTCATGTGGTTTTTGCACTGCATTAAAAATCACTTATGTAATATGACATCGAATCCAACACACGGCCAATAAATGTATTGTCATTTTATGTTTTGTCACAGTATTATGCCTATTATATTGAAATTGTATTGGACATAACCTGCAAGCAATGTGTGCATATGAATTTGCCAAATACCTTATATTTTATAATTGATATAACTGATTAATAAAATAAGTTGCAAAGCTCAGATGTTGATGGTATTGATTCAAATCTTAATCTTTATCTAATTAAAGTTTCTTAATTTTATTTGTATATTTAGACAAAAATTTTGATAGTAATTTGATTTGATTCTTTTCTTCTAGAGATTAACAAATGTATGTGTTTTACTTACTAGTGATGTTATTTAACCTAATAACTGAACACATCCTTTAAATTCATACTTATACACTCTGTAAACCTGTTTTTAAACCTGTTTCAATTATTAACTGTTTTAAATCAAAATTAATAAATTTTCAAAATTTATATAATTTTCACTGTAAAGAATTTCATAATTATCAGTAAGTATATAGTCTGAATACATCAAGGTCATGTCTGCCAAAAAGTTGCTAGTTACTTTTTGTATGTTATGTTAATATTTAGAATATAAATAAAATAATAATTTGAATTTTATCCAGTTTTTATTTGCAGTTCATTAGTCTATTTTAGATTAAAAGGGGCAACTTTTTGGTACATGTAGAACTCCACTAATCCGTTTAAAATTTCAGGAAATCTAGATGAAATTATAGTTTTTCTTACCTTGTGATCTCTATTTTTTTCAGTTTGGTATGTTTGAAACTATGACCAGTGCCTTTGTGGATGAATTTCCTCAGTTTTTGAGAAACAAGAAATTGATCTTCACAGTTGTCATGTGTTTGGTGGAGTTTGTGTTAGGTATTCCATGTATCATGCAGGTACAGTCTTTAATAGTTATTAATTTTTTCGCTCGCTCGCTTTTAATATGCCCACATTGAAATGTGGTCATATATTGTCATCAACCCTGTCTGTCCATCTCCCACAATAGCTTGTGAACTCTTTTTAATATCCTTCCAACCTCGTGGGTTTTCTCCGGGTCCTCCGGTTTCCTCCCACTGCTAAAGACCCCTACGTGCAAGCGAATTATTGAAATAAAATTAAACTATGTGTTATTCCCGAAATGACCTACTTTGTGTCAAGTGGACGTTAAACCCCATTTCTCTCTCTCTCTCTTTTAATATCCTCTTTAATTTAAATTTATACACATGAGACCAAGAAACCTATTGATTTTCAATCATTTCCGATAATTACTACCACAGTTACTTGGGACCCTTGATCACTTTGAAAAATCTTGTGGATGCTCTAGAGGCACTTACACTGACTTACATTTGATACACAGTGAGACTGAAAAATCTTATGGACTCTCCCAAGGCCACAGGTAATAACTGATTCACTTTAAATTTATATACGCACAAGACCAAAAATCCTATTGACCTTCTAAAATTTTTGATAATTACTGCCATAGTTATGACCCTTTACCTCTTTGAAAAACTTGTGGATGCTTTATAGACCACAGTTATCACCCAATTGACTTTAAATTAATGAGATTCTTGAACAATAAAAAGACCACATCTATCATCTGATTAACTTTAAATTTATACACAGTGCTAGTGCTTTAGGTCATGAGATGATGAAGCCTATTGATTTCCAATAATTTCTGATAGATATTGCCAAGGTTGTGGCCCTTGATAAATTAATGATATTAAATTTTTGTACACCAAACATGAACATGGGGCAGAACCTGAAGTCAAACAAATTCTATTGATTTCCGATAATTACTTAATGTGTTGATACTCTTTTCAATCTGATTTTAGTGTATTGTAAATGTGTTCATCACCGCCAAAAATTACATAATTATGCAAAAACCCTTGTTGACTGCTCGGACAATTTAACTGCTGTGGGCGTATGTTTCATTGCCTGGCAACCTATCTGGAATTAAATGGGTTTGTTTGTTCGTCCGTCTGTCTGCCTGTTACACAAAAGTTCTGCATCTAATTCAGCTGGGTGCATATCTTTACCAAGTTTTTTTTTTAAATAATTGATCTTAAATTTGATAATGAATTGGTTTTGAGACAGATTTTGCTGGCTGTTCAATCCATATTATGCATTAACAAAATGTATAGGTCAAACCTCAGCCAAGCATTTACAAATTTTCCATTTTTATACGCCCACATTTAAATGTGGTCGTATATTGTCATCGCCCCCGTCCGTGGCTAAAGTTAATATGCGATTGACTTTAAATTCATACACAGTGTTTAAGGTCATGAGACGAAGAAGCCTATTGATTTTTAGCAATTTCCGATTATTACTGCCAGAGTTATGGCCCTTGATCACTTTGAAAAATCTTCTGGACGCTCAAGAGGCCAAAGTTAATATCCGATTGACTTTAAGTTTATACACAGTGTTTAAGGTCATGAGACAAAGAAGCCTTTTGATTTTCAGCGATTTTCGATAATTTCTGCCAGAGTTATGGCCCTTGATCACTTCAAAAAATCTTGTGGACGCTCTAGAGGTCAAAGTTAATATCCGATTGACTTTAAATTTATACACAGTGTTTAAGGTCATGAAACGAAGAAAACTATAGAATTTCAACAATTATCGATAATTACTGCCAGAGTTATGGCCCTTGATCACTTCAAAAAATCTTGTGGACACTCTAGAGGTCAAAGTTAAATTTATACACAGTGTTTAAAGTCATGAGACGAAGAAGCCTATTGATTTTCAGCGATTTCTGATAATTTTTGCCAGAGTTATGGCCCTTGATCACTTTGAAAATTCTTGTACACGCTCTAGAGGCTAAAGTTAATATCCGATTGACTTTAAATTTATATACAGTGTTGAAGACCATGAGGCGAAGAAGCCTATTGATTTTCAGGGATTTCCGATAATTTTTGCCAGAGTTATGGCCCTTGATCACTTTGAAAAATCTTGTGGACGCTCTAGAGGCTAGAGTCCGATGGACTTTAAATTTATACACAGTGTTTAAGGTCTTGAGACGAACAAGTATATTGATTTTCAATGAATCTTTATGACTTGAACAGCTAAATCCATGATGTTAAAAGTTTTGTATATTAAACGTTAGCATGGGGCAGAACTTTATAAAAACCAAACAAATTGTAATGGTTTTCTGATAATTACTTAATGAGTTGTTACTCTTAATTAGATTTTAATGTATTATAAATGTTTCATTACCGAAAAAAGTAAAAATATGCGACAACTCTTGTTGACTGCCCGGTCGATATAGCTGCTGTGGGCGTATGTTTTGTTGCCTGGCAACCTATCTTTCTTTTAAGTATTGTATTGGAATATAAGTCATTGAGAAAAATTTTAATTTCATATGTCTAGAGGAGCTTACATGGGACTCATTGTTGACTTAAGAACATCTTGGAGCTGGTAATGCAAAAAGGCAGACAGTTTTCTTATATAAGAATTGTCACTATTTGACTCATTCTTACCATTCTGTGTAGTTTTGAGCCATGCTGATAGTATCATTTGAAATAATAATGTCCAATTAGCCATGCTGATATATTTATATGATGCCAAAGTGAACAAAATTCAAATATCAAAACATTTAATTCTCTTTGAAAAGAATTATTGGCTATTTTGATAATTTCCTGTTCTTTGAAACATGAAACGCAACATCAAGTAATCATCGCTTGGATTAATTATTATCAGTAAATAATGACTTATTGGCAATTATCAGTCAACTGACATTCAATTTTACATTATCTTTCATATATCATATGGCAGTAATTATATGTTACTATTATTCAAAACAATAAATTAGGAAAACCGATAATTTTCATTGTCATAAATTTGACAGTCAGGTATGACAAATATATAATTATTAGGATGTTTTCCCCAATTTATTCCTGCACATAACAACTTTATGTCACTCATAACAAGCTTTATAAACCAATTAAAAGCAATTAGAACCATATATTCAGATGCTGTCCACAAATTCCTTGTTACTCTTGAGGAGTCATAAGTATGGTTTTCTCTTTTTTAAGATTATGTTGCATATTTTAATTTAAAAAAATCAAATTAGCATTTTTCTACAATAACAATTATGTATTATATTTCCAATATGTTCTGAATTTTGTGTATATCCACACCCCACATTTAAATTTTCTATTCCTTAAAAATATTGCATTCTTGTTTATAGGGATTACATAATTTAAATAAAATTATTTCAGGGTGGTGTGTACATTCTACAGATCATGGATTGGTATGCTTCTTCCTTTTCCCTTATGTTAATGTCTCTTGCTGAATGTATTGTAATTGCATGGGTTTATGGTAAGTTCTCAAGTTACAAAAATAAATATGACTTCTTGTAAAAATTAATAGAGGGAAATACTCTTCATTAAACTAAAATATTTTTGGATTTTTTGTGCCAAACCTGGTAGTAAACAGTTCTAATTTAATGTGTGTAAAGCAGTTTTAGGAATTGAATTTATTGAAACAATAACACTGAAGATAGCATCATAATCCCTCTCACATTGGATTACAGTAAACTTTTTTATTGCCTGATAAACTGAAACTTCCACATCATCAGTGGTATTGGGTGTTTTTAAAGAAGGATCGGTTGCTGTACTGTTAATATCTATATTTCTAATTAGTACTTTTCTTTCCTGGAATAGGAGCTGATCGATTTTACAAGGATATTGAATTAATGATTGGATACCAACCTTGTATTTGGTGGAAGATTTGCTGGAAATTCATAACACCTATTATCATTCTTGTAAGTCATATTATATAGTAGTCATCATTCACAATTGGTCATTCCACAAGTATTGATTGACAAGTTAGAATGTAGAATCTGACAGCTTGTGCCCTATTAAAAATTTAATATTCTTAAAGCTTGTGACAAAGTTGGAACATAAAGTGTTTAATGGAATTGTTAACATCCACTGGCTTGCTTTCCTAAAACTTTTTGTTTGCATTTTGCTCTTCTTGGGAGAGAGGCACTTCGAAAAAATCCTAATGCTCCGCTATTTCAAGAATGATCGACCTGAAACCTAGCATGCTTATTTCTCGGACAATAAATTGTGTATTATATTTGATATGTCACAATTTCAAAATGGCTGCGATGAAGTCATTATCAGTTCCTGATCCGTATATTACGTTCATAGTAGTTTATTCTTTTTCCACTACTATGAAATGCTGAACCAGTTTGCTAATAAATTTTGTATGTTCTTTGCAGAGCATCTGGATATTTAGTGTTGCTTCTTTGGAACCTGTGTCATACAAAGACTACCAATATCCAGCATGGGCTATTGGATTTGGTTGGGCATTAAGTTTAGTCTCATTTTTGCCTTTACCAGTGTTAGCTATTTATCAGATTTATCATGAAGAAGGACCTCTGTTACAGGTAAGCAACTTAATGGACTGTTTATTATCACCATCTGTAAAGTTTATTTATTCGATCTACTCTAGGGGCATAGATTAATTCTACCTCTGTGGTAGATCATAATGAAGAATCCTGACAGAGTCTGTATTTTCACAAACAACAGAAACTCCAAACTCTTTCTCAGTTTTGATAGAGTTCTCCAATAACTTGTTGGTGCTGCTTACTATCTCATACAGAAATGTTTTTAATTCTGTTTCACTTATAATTTAACTTCTAACAGTATATAATCACATTATAATGTCAGTGTTATAAATTTCATTGTATTTTTTCAGAGAATTATACATTTGTCCAAGCCAGCATCAAATTGGGGTCCAGCTTTACAAAAACATCGAGAAGAATATCTGGCAACACTAGAGCCAAGACAACGACCTGCATTTACACCAGTTACTGCCCCTATCTATCTACCTACCACCATTCCTACCATTTGTGAAAAAAGTGCAGCACCTTTTCCAGAAGAGGTTACTTTATTAAGTTCCCGTGAAAATATTTCAGGTCCAGATTCAAAATGCTAGTCAAAAGTTTGAATTTACCATGAATCCAAAGAAATCAAAATTTAATGTCAAGAAACAAACAAAAATTTCACTTTACCATTTTATGAATTGAGCGTTTTATTTGAGGATTTTTTTCCTGGTGAATGTAGGTGGTCACTATATTATTTTAAAGTATTTTTACTCAGTCTAATTCTAATTAAGTTAGTGTATGTATACATTCATTTTTTTTTTATAAACCTTCAAAATACAGTACAGTTAAAAGCATTAGATAATAAGATTTGTACAGTACAAGTCTCCTTCAATATCACAGAAACTGACACCCTGTTGAATGATAAACCAATGACCTAGCCAATCAAATAAACAGTTATTATTTATTCATGTCATCATTATCAATCAGTTGGTAAGCATCTTAAGTCTAGTTTAAGTGATTTGAAATTGCAAAAGTATATATTTGAGGTTATTAATTTGAATTAGATTGAGAATTTTCATTTTGTATAATATGTTAGAATTGAATGATTGTATCAGTGGGTCATATATATACGATAATTTCTTCAATCATGTTCAAGGATTACCAGAAAAGAGCACATCTAATTATATTAGTAACCTTCAATAGCTATACTACATTTAGTGTATGATTCTTAGTTTAAAATTATAGTTGAAAGTCTGAATTGATTGTCATTGAAGTTGACTGACTAAAGTTGATAGCTATAGTGGGTTATTACTACGCAAATTCCAAAATGATAATTGGTGTCCTCAGTATGATTGAAGAAAATTGTTTTATACAATGAGATATTTTATATTGTTTTGATGTGGTTTTTGATGTAATGATCTATCCATGTTATACATGGTCATTTTTGTTGCGGTGGTCAGAAGTTTTAAAAGTTGATACTTATAGACAATGAACCAGCCACTGTGGTATCATAATTAATCTACAAAATTAAAAATATCTGAATAATGCTGTTTTCCAATCATGCCATCCATAAAGGCAATCATTAACACCCCTAAAAAATGCTTTCTTAATACTCTATTTTAAAATCCATGTCAAATTCAGTGTGTAATGTTTGTTTTTAAGTGCAAATCAAATGTTATTTAGTTGTGGTAATGTTGTACCAAATACGAGGGCTGACAAAAAGTTCTAAGCCTGAAAAGGATAGATGTGCTGGGTTGAAACAAAATTTTGCCACCAACAAGTACAGTCATTGAATGAATCATAGACATAAGAACTGCAATTGTAGTGTTATTATTGTCTTCTTACCAAGCCATCTTGTAAACCTACCCATTGAATTCACCAAAAAATGGAAAAAAATTGCTATAGGGCAATTATCAAGTACCTGAAACTGAAACGACTAACCCCAACCAACACAAGAACCTGACGATGACCTGCGTCCTGGAAGGCCATCAACAGTAACTAAAAAAAATTACCTGGGTCCATGACATGGTGATGGCTGATCTATGATTGACCACTCAACATATTGCCATGAGAGGGTTAAGCACATTATCTCCAATGAGTCATCACTTTTAACCTGAATCCAAAATTCAGTCATTTTCCTAGTAATGATGATTTTTTTAGGGTGGCTGAAGGGGACTATATAGGAAAATAAATGGAAACCATTGACTTTGTACAGGTCTTTCACAGATATGCTTAGAACTTTCCAGCCAGCCATCATATTATTTTAACTTTCATGTATTAGAGGATAAATACCAAAGAATTAAAGATTAAACAGATAATGAATTTCGACAAAGAGTGCAACTGCTGTCAATTTAAATTTGCCTTTATTTTGTACTTCCACCAAAGGGAGAAATTTACTCAAAAATTATGTGCCATAAATGTGTCTGTAACATTTATACACCTTTAATTGCACGCAGATAATATGCTGTCATTGGAAGTGGTGTTATTGTGTTTTTCTGAAAACAAATAAGTTACAGCCAGTCTTATTATTCATGGGATTTGATTAATGTTAAAAAAAAGAGCATTAGATATTTTCCCTATATTTGGAATCAAAACTCTTCATTTTTCATTGGTGGTACATATTAGAATTTGGATATATATGGAAATTACTGCCATATTCCTGTTCATTAATAATCCACCCGAGAAATTTTAATTGACAAGTTTATGCCAAACTAATAATTATCATCTTATTATCAGGTAATATTTTGTGTACATTTTCTTAAAATTTTTATTTGATATATTAAAAAGGTCCGACCAAAGAGTTATTGTTTAAATTATGTCAATTTCCAGATATTATCAATAAACTTAACTTACCCCACTAAGCCTTCTTTTTGTCAATGACCAATTTATCAAAATACTTTAACTGACAGAACAATGACAATGTTTTTAATTACTGTAATATTTATTTCATAATTATCCCCCGCCTTTCGAAGAAAGCGGGAAACTATTAAAATGGGTCTGTCTGTCCATGCATCTGTCTGTCTGTCTGCCTGCCTGTCTGCCCATCACACTTTTTGGGATACAATAACTCTGCTTCTAATTGACCTTAAATTTTCAAACTTGGTATAGGTGTTGATTATGTGAATGCCTTGACTGAGTTCGATATGAGAATTTTTTGCTTAGGTTAAGCAGAGATATGCAATTTGATTGGTCGATGCTTTGGGACATTATAACGTCTAATTAAGCCAGAGTAATGAAACTAGTTTTATAGTTTCATTGAGTAATGAAACTAGTTTTATAGTTTCATTACATCAATACCTTGACTGTGGTAAAACTTGGCGTAGATCATCATGTCATCTAATGCCTTTTTCCATTTGGCGGGGGACATCGCTGTTGGCTTATTTTACATTATTAAGATTGTTGGTAATCATGGGAGTATTGGAAATAACAATAGAATTGTATTGAAACTTCGGTCATTCTTATTGCCACATATAAAGTTGTTACAGAATGACCATATACTTACTATATCTGGCAACTAGTTCATGATTTTAGAATGTGGTAGTAGTTTTACCTGGTTCAGAGGTTGTCTGAAGATATATCACTTTGTATTTTGTATATTCTATAGTCTGTTCAGTTAAACTATGTTCCATATGCTCCATGTGAAGTCACTTTAAATATTGTCTGTCAATGAAACAAAATTAAATTTTACATGATTTGATTACATAGTGTCATAGCTCAAAATTAATCTTCTGATACTCACAATTTTTGTATTTAATGTCAAAATTTTCCTTTTAATATTTAAAGGGGGAACTAATTATATTACTTGTTTTAATCATGTCACATTTTTTGTGAAATTATTTTATTTAAAATAAACATATCAACTCAAATATGTGGGTATTTAAGGCCCTTGTTTGTTGGTATGTTTGTCAAGGATAACTCCTATGGCACTAGAAAAAAACACATTGGGTGAGGTCAGAACAAAAAAGTTAGTGCTAGTGTTAAGAGTTTATTTCAGTAAAAGAGTTAGCCCGAGCCCTTTAATCTGATATTCAATAACCAGTTCGTTCTATCTACCTTTAAGTACATTATAAGTACATGTAGATAATTATTTGATTCATGTGAGACAAGCAGTTAACTTGATCATCATTACTAAAGTTGGTACGATAAAAAACAAAGTCTCAACAAAGTCTCGGTTGTCCATTGTTACGTTTAATCATCCTCCACAAAATGTATTCCAATCCACTAAATATCGCAGGCCAGAGATGGCTTCGAGAGTTATTATCGTCTGGATAAGTTAATTAATGTCTAATTAATAATGAAGGTAACATTTCGGGCTTAAAGAAAGACCTGCAATAGAAAGATTTAGGGAACTCACTGTTTTGACCTCAATCAAATTTGTAACATTATCTTAGCTTTTTAAATATTTAATTACTCAAGTGAAGTGTATCCAATACTAATGTCACATTAGTGTTTCCCTAATCTCAGCTCATGGAAGTTTTCTTATTTTTTTAACATGGGCTCAAATAGGACAAGACCTCTCTATTCCCCTAGGGGTTAACACTTTATAGATGTCAAAAGTAAGATGCAAAAAACACACAAAACCTGAGATTTTTTTTGAGCCATTTTCAAATTTTTCGGGAAGCAGCCAAATGATGAAAATATAAGATTTTAGTGGACATAAAAGAAAAAATATGAAAATTATTCCATCCCGCAAAATGAAGTACCCGATATCGGGGACGTTACTGACGGGTGAAGTGATGCAGTTGGAGAGGTGATGCAATTCGGAAACAAGAGTTTCAGAAAATCACATAATTTTGATTCTGATTCTGGGTATTTAATTCGCATACTCTAACTGCAGTTCCAGAAAATCACATAATTTTGATTCTGATTCTGGGTATTTAGTTCGCATACTCTAACTGCAGTTCCAGAAAATTCTCTCTACTAAGTACTAGGACTACTTGCCGTCATTTTTCGATATTTTACTAGTTAATTTAATCTCGCGGCTGTGACTTTTACCAGCTGATTCATTGTTTTGACGAGTGCGGAATTTGATTATGCACTGCATGTAATTTGCATTTTGCTCTTATCTGGTCCAATGACGTATGACCCCTCAACAAAAATCCCTCGTAGCTGCCAGATTTCTATTTTGAAGGAGAGAGGTAATATAGACCTAGCCTGTTCCTCAATGCTTTTCTGAGAATAAAATATTTGTACATAGACCGAGTTATGGTATTACATGTTTACTTTAACCAAAATGGTGTGTATATATGCGATAATTATTGATTAGGTGTGGTGGTGAAGAATAAGCTGCGATCAGTCACTGTAAACGTTTTAGTTCTTAGCAAATTATACATAAAATGGTCCCGTGATGCATAGACATACGGGCTCGATGAATGTGTGATATTTTGGCATTTGCGAGGGGGCACAAAAACTCGAGGAGAGGCAAAAACTTGGTCCGAGACTATTTTAACATAAATGTTCCCTGGGGCTTTGCAGTTGGGATTGAATATTGACAGGAATCAAGACCTTTGGGTTATAAAGATATATTTCAAGTTTCATCAAAATTGTGACTTCTAGAGGGTCCAAAAAATTGATATACCCTATATTTACACTATTTGCGTACGAGAGGCGGCCATATTGTCCGGCAGTTTTGGTCTGATTGTCACGAAATTCGAACTCAGTCGTCATTAGGGCGTAACGGTAAAATCTTCAAACGTCTTTTTTTCAATCGGATAAAAATTGTAACCTCTAGAGGGACCACAAGCTAAAAACATAATTTTTCGTACAACCAAGGAAGTTACAACCTGATAGGCGCAAATATCAAAAGAAACCAATATCTTTGGGTTATAAGCATGTATTTCGAGTTTCATCAAAATCGGATCAAAATTTTGGCCTCTAGAGGGTCCACAACCTTGATATACCATATATTTACACTATTTGCGTTAATGGGGCGGTCATTTTTGTCTGGCAATTTTGGTCCGATTTTCACAAATTTCGAACTCAGCAATCATTAGGGTGTAACGGTGATATATTCAAACGGATAAAAATTGTTACCTCTTGAGTGACCACAAGCTAAAAACGTGATTTTTCGTACAATCAAGGGCCATAATTCAGGAAGTTATGATCCGATATGCGCGAATTTTGAAAGGAACCCAGATCTTTGGATTATAAACATGTATAAATTATGACCCCGAGAGGGTCCACAACATACCATATTTTTACACTATTTGCGTACGAGAGGCGGCCATTTTGTCCAGCAGCATTGGTCCGTTTTTCACGGAATTCGAACTGAAGCGTCATTACAGTGTAATGGTGATATATTCAAGCGTTTTGGGTTTTTTTTAAATCGGATAATAATTGTGACCTCTAGGGACCACAAGCTAAACACGCGATTTTTCGTACAATCAGGGGCCATAATTTAGGAAATTACGATCCGATATGCGCAAATATCGAAAGGAACCAAGATCCTTGGGTTATAAACATGCATTTCAAGTTTCATATAAATCAGATGAAAATTGTGACCTATAGAGTGTCTACAAGCTAAAAAAAAAAGTGATTTTTCGTACAATCAGGGGCCATAATCCATGAAGTTATGGTCCGATATATGCCAATATCGAAAGGAACCGAGATCTTTGGGAGATCACCTATATTTTAAGTTTCGGCAAAATCGAATAAAAAATTGTGACCTGTAGAGTGTCCACAAACAAATTGTGGACGGGCGTCCAGACGGGCGGACAGGGGCGACGACAATCATAATATACGTCCACATGAAAATGTGGGCGTATAAAAAGGAAAAAAAATTATTACCATTGTCTGCTAGTTCATTTTTCTGCGGCCAACGTCGACAGCCCAATTCTGGGCTAAATCTATTTGTTAAGGCCATTTCAATTTTCGTCAAGGTCGCTGAGATGTAAATATTATATGGTTGGGGTAGGCCTACGTGATTGTTGGCGAGATTGTAGGTTAGGGTTAGCATTGGGGTAGGTCAAGGGTTAGAGTTAAGGTTGGGATTAGCGCTAGCCCTGATTATATCTCGTGACCTTTGACCAAACTTCAAGTTGGCTTTATCAAATAGACCTAACCCCAATTCTGGGATGTTTTATTATGGGCGTTTGGAGGTTAAGGGGAGGTAACTTCATTAGTTTTATAGGCTCGCTAGCAGACGTCTTGCCTGGCCACCAGGTAACATCAAGCCTGCGGTTGGTGAGTAATGTTCGGTTGTAATGATATATATAGTACTAATATAAGATGACTAAAACTATTTCAAGAAAGGTTGTGTTGTAAGCTTACACAGTAATCTCAACAAGAAGGTAGGTTCTTTAATTTTAATTCATTTTATTTTCTAAAGGAATTTAACGACCGTAGTCCAATTAATGTACATTAGCCTACTATTTTTGGAACGACTTCAGTTTTTAAAATGTTCGTAATGCGCTATACAGGCGCATTTATAATGCTAGTGTTAAAACAGTTTAGAGCACAGAGTCAGTTTCTTAAACACAAGTCGCACGTAGACCTACAGTTGCGCCAAGATAGACACCTCAATTGGTATCAATATTAGGTCAACAAAATCGTTATTTCCTTTCTACAGTGGCCTACATTATATTCATATAACAAACCTTATAAAACTTAAGCCCTGGTTGCATGCACATTTTACTATTTTACTCGTGTAAGCAAATTTCCTCATATGCATTTTTGCATGTGTGTAATATTAAATTTTCTATGGATTCGCATAAGCTTTAAATGCGTAAATATCTAGGGGTGCTTTAAGAAATAGTTTCACAACTGATGTCTCTTGTCTTGCTCCAGCCATGGTAGCGGCACACAAAATAAGACACCATTACAATATTGCAGCCAGGGTAGTTACTTTAATAACAGATTTTTGTCCCAGATATGTCCATTCGGTTTTAAGGTCTTTGGTACACATACTTATTGCTTCGTGGAGTTGCTTCCTGTTGAACACTTCACACCTCTTAATATAGAATTTCGATTTCTGTAGGATGAAAGACCCTTTTCAGAAACCATTTGATTGAAACACCAAGTTTTGGTCTCTCAGGTTTTTAAATAGATTTTGTTCCATAGTATTAGTAAGTTCACTATTAAACAGATATGAAATTACCATTTCAGACCAATATATTAAGTTCTGGTGTATCAAAAACTCAACACATGAAATAATGATAAGTTTTAATATCATAACATTAGCAGGTCATCAATAATATTATAATAGAGAATATATTGCCTGGACATGATTGAATGATAGTAGATACATTCTCTTACTGTGTTCATATACCTAGATTATATAGAACAATCTGAACACTCAACAAACATAGTTCACATCAACATATTTCTTCACGAATATATATAGTTCGTATGGACCAGATTAAAGAACAATAAATGGACGAGAAATAATTGTAAATTCAACAGAAAAATAATTCAACATCGAGTGCCACATTTTTGAACAGTGAAATTGTGTAAAGTTATATGAAAGGAATTTAACCAATATTGTGCAACATTTAACAATGCATAACATGTTTTAAAAGTGATCCAAAGATATACAAAACTTGAGATAAGACATGAAAACAATCTCTATGATTAAAAACTGAATAATGATACCAATTACTGAAACACCATGATGATTTAAGATAAATATAATAAAATCTGATAAATTAACTTTTTTGTCAGATAGATACAAAATATTATTATGCTCAGCACTAAAATATGAACACAAAGAATGAAAATCATTGGTGAATAACTTGAATTTATCTCTGTATAACTATGTAATGACAGCCATAAAAATCTGATGGAAATATAATGTATGAATATATTTTAATATATTTAAAGTTTATGCCATTTAAAATGAGGTAATATAGAATGCTGCAATCTTAATTAAGGGTAAGTTAATATTGTAAAGTAATTGAAAGCTTTATGCTACAGCAAAGCTCTGATTATAACCTGCTGTTAATGATGCATTATGTAAGAGCCAATCTATCTATTGCAGATCTTTCTTTTGACATTAAATTGACATTTATGTATATGACCAGCTCAAAATAAATTCTCTAGATCATCAGATGGCTCCAATTTTTAATGTATTGAAGCACGATCATCATTTAATAATTTAATTTAATAAATGGATTAACAAGACTTTGTTTATTATTGTAACCAGAGTAGCAATGAAAATCGAGACTACAGGTATGATATTTTTATCAAAACTTCAAACACTGATAACTTTGCTCAGAATAAAGTAATTTGACTGAAATGTTCTGTATATTCCTTGTTATTATCTATTTTTAAACTATTATGGCCAGATCGGACAGCTCATAATCTAAATCTTACATAATACATCTTTAAAATTTATTTAATTTGTTGCATGATATCAATTCTAATCTTTTAAATGCTACAGAATAACAAACCCAAACCAAAGTAAAAAATACATATGATGAAATTTTAAAAGCATAAAACAAATGAAAAGCATGATTTAATAATTGAGATAAGATTAGAGTAACTCAGACTTTATGATACAGATTGTATGCAATGAATAAGCGCAAACCACTTAAATAATTGTTTATAATATCATGTAACTGTCGAGGTAAATATGTTTGTTAGCTTTACACCAGTATTTTTATATTTGAAATGAAGTTCTTAATTTTTGAAAGCTATATCTATATTATCACTAATTTCCCTCGCAGCCCTAAAAGTTTCTTAATACTACATCTTATCAAGTTATTACCACTACCATACACTGTATGAACATTCATCAACACAAAAATGCACATGTATTGTAGTGCAATAAATAATCTGGGATGTGTGGCTGATAGGTAGGCATAATCCTACAATTAGAATGGTATACATTTATATACATTTCGGAATATTTTGATATTTACAGGGTGACAAAATGTGATAAAAGTGATTTAATGTAGTTTAAACAGATGAAGGGTATTACTATCCTGATATTGATAAAATAATAGTAATTATTATCATGATATTACTTCAGTTATTTATATAATGTACAGACTTCCATACATAGTTCCAATAAATGGGATTTTGTTGTAATATAAAGTCACTATAGAACTTAATTATACAAGTAATGTCATGGCACAAAGTAACTGATAAATTGTATACATAGCTATTAATTCATAAGTATTTTCTAATTGACAGAATGTAATTCATACACATTACATATCATAGCATTTTATAACCAGCGTAAAATTACTTTAATGAAGCACATGAATTCTTAGTTTCTAATAATCTAGCTCATATTAATTGCTATATACATGTGAATAATAAACTGTTTATTTTAGCACTATTTAACAGAAGCTGAACAAGTCTATAATATATAGTTCCTTATGCTGTGTCCTTGTATAATATCATTAATGCAGTTTCATATCAATATCCCTGCCGGAACACAGTTTTCAATATCTGTATTAAATTGTTTTTTTCCAGAACACAAAATTGTCCTAGTAAGATCAAATACTCTCACTACAGAAAACTTAATATTATGTCCAGCAGTGCATCTGTCTGTTTTCTGGATCAGTTACATAAGAATACTTTTCACGCACATCTTTTGCTCAGATATTATTTTAAGAATATTTGACTGGAATCATAGCATTCTTTCACCTTAGCCTTGACCGTAAATTAATTGAAATTATCCATATTTCAACACACATTTGGAATATTTTTGTGGATAATATTTTATGAGAGTGAAAAAAATAGAATTCAATATCAACAGTTATTTTGTACAGATCACAGATTTTGAAAGAATATTTACAGATATCTTTTTTTTAAAAAAACGAATCCAAATTGCATGGCTCTTTGATTGCAATTACACACTTGTTTCCCGACTATCCACAGCAATGTTTTGATGAAATGTTTCCCGGATTCTTTCAATGTAGTTTGCTACTATATATCCATAAGCTTTATTGTACCACTCTGGGTTTCGACCCCTGAAAAAATAAATTCATAATTATCAGATAGTCATTCATAATTGTGCCTTTGCATTTTGTTCCTTACTAACATACATTAACATTACCGTATAGAACATGATCATCTCTCATCCACAAAACAATTCCCAGTAAATACTTCTATGCTACATCAAATTTGCCTTGCACAATCCTACAGTGTGTCGTGTTCGTTCGCTCATAGGGTTTTATACTCAGGATCAACAATGAAGCCATATTACAAATATGCGCCATTTCCTGTCCTGTCAGATCTACGGGGAAATCCCTTTCTGAATATATATTACTTTCCCAGAATTATAGATAATAATTTACTTTGTGTCTGTCCGAGCTATGTGAATCATTCTACATTTTCCAGCACCACACGGTTCAATAAGGAAATGTGAAGCAAGTTCAATGGCTCTGACACCTTTTGTCTCTGGTACATCTGCACAGTTAAAACTACAGGACACCATTGCACAAGCACCTTTAGCTAGATCTGTTCTCCAATACCTAAAAAAATACAGAACAGACCAATAAAATCACATAGATGTATGTACCCACCACATGCTATCCCTTAAGAACTTTCTATCTGCAACCTTGTAGAGGGTTTCATATTATGGGCTGCTTTTTTAGGGAATTTAATCAAGTTAATTAGCAAATTATAATGTCCACACAAAAAGGTTTACCTACCAAAGTGTACAAAACAATAAAGAGTAAATAATGTGTCCTACAAGCATTGGTTTCAAATAACCACAGTACAGATATCCTTTTGTATGTGCTGTTTTGTAACTTTACTGATAAAGCTAGATGTTGGGTTCAGCTCAAACGACTATGACATATTCAAAAACTTTGATTTATATTTTGTACATACTCCCTCAATGTAATTCAGTCCTGTCACAGTTCTGTCAGTCCCGACTATGCAGGTGGTATGAGTAGAATCGATCAATTCGTTGTAGCCCGAAATACCCTTTTTCACTATTTTGGGGATTGAGAGAATTCAATTCCGGAACGTTCAATTGAGTGGTTATTAACTGGGGGAAACTACTGTATAAGCTTGGAAACTAAAGGGAGATAATCTACCTGAGAAGACAGTAATGTCGAGTTGGTTGTGGGGCCATACTGTTAGAAATGTACTGAAAAACATCAGCATTATTAGAGATTTGGTTCACTTCAGCCCAACTTAACATGTCCTCATCCCACATGTGCCTGAAATGATCAAAATAGATAACATGTAAGCTATGTTCAGAGTTATCACAAAAACAATATCAGCAAACATATCCATGAAATCAAACTTCTTTAATATAAATAAGAACCCACCTTTCATGTAATAGTCTGTTTAAAACTTCAACAGGTGGGGCTTCTATTTCAACAGTACATTTCCATTCACGTAGTGGATGGGAGTCATGTGGTTTTCTGTAGCATACATCAACTGCATTCTGGGATGAAAAGGACAACCAACCCCTATTCTTCTCATGAGCCTCCTATTTTGATAAAAAATAATCATTAAATATTTGTTTGTTTCTCTCAATATAAAGATAATATTCTCTTTAAGATATATTTTTATCTGAAAAACATCTTTCTCACAATGAACAAGAAAAATAATATAAACCTAATAAAAGTGTGTATCTAATTTAAAATTCATGAAACAAGAATTCAGGATTTGGTATGAAATTTCGGTAAAAATAATGGTTGCCATTTTTAAACCATTCAATCTTTTATGAAAATCCAAGACAAGCTCCATGACCAAAGAAATATTTACTTTCAGCAACTGCTGAATGGTATCTTCACCAAAAGATCTAACATCAGGTTGACCAGTATTATTCTTCTGATAATACTGTTCCAGAGGTGCAGGCTCATTTTTATCAGATGAAATATGTAGTCTAGAATATATCCAGGGAGGAATCTGAAAAATATTGAAAATAAATTAAGTACCGTACATGTATGTATGATGTATATATATTTTTGGCCAGGTATAAAACAAATATGAGGAAGCTTGCTTGAATTATTAGACATCATATTTCCAAAGTTATTCTCATATGGTAATTCCTTATATGAATCTTTGTTCATCTAAATCTTAATGTTTAGAATAATTAGTGCAATCAAACAATAGTACAAATTCAATATCTGCATCAATTATATGGATGTTTATACAAATGAATTCCCTGTGAAGTTAACTTCAATATGACATATAAATTAAGTAGTGTCCTTGAGTAAGTATTAATTTTTTTATATTTTTTTTTACATTGCTGATGTCAACAAAGTTGACAGGAGCTTTAATGAATATCAAAATGCATAAAAAAGTCTTACCATAAACATCTTTTTACATTCTATGATCATGTATGTCAAACATTCTAAAGCTGCCTTTTGTTCCATAAGTTCCTTGGCATCTGGAACTCCTAGATTTTTCCTATGTTTAGGTTTAGGGCTAGGAGTACTAGTGGCTCGCAGTCCCCCAATGTTAAAGAGAGAGGGCCCGAAACACACAGCTAAGTTACTGGCAGTCATCTATAAAACAGAACATATTTCTTAATATGGCATATTATGTACATTATTCCAGTCGTGTCTTAACACAATATTCACTCTCTTCTTTTTGTTAAAATCACATATTTAGGTATTATAGCTCACTTCAATAACAAGAGAGAGAGGGGGAGAAATGCGGTTTAATGTCCACTGACACAAACTAGGTCATTTCGGGACTAACACTAATTCAATTTTATTTCAATAATTCGCTTGCGCATAGAGGTCTTTAGCAGTGGTAGGAAACCGCAGGACTCAGAGAAAACCCAAGAGGTTGGACAGGCGACCCTACTCCTTGTCACGTACAACCGGGAATCGAAACCACGCCAGTTGACTCAATGTCAGACCTTATGATACAGCGCGCATATGCTAACCATTCTGCCATCCACCCCCTATCAATAATAAGAAAGCCATGTACAAATTTTAATATGATGTAATGACTAACGGCTTCAAAACACCTACCTGATGAACAGTTGACTGTTGTGAAATATCACTCAGAAATAATAACAAAGCCTGAAGAACTTCACGATTTTCATCTGGTAACAAAATTATTGCAGCTTGCATAGCTTCCAGTCGTAAATTTGGCTGAACATCTATATAATGTAGATCAAAATAAATTCATAGAGACAATAATGAACATATATGCATAGTTTGTTGATGATCAATACAGAACAGAAATCATCATAATAATGTATTTAGATTGGCCCTTTACAATTTCTGATCTGCAAATGTACATGCAAAAGAAAGGATCATTTCCAAGAGAGATTTAATAGTCCGAAAACGGACGAAGAGTCCGAAAATGGAAGAAAAGTACTTTAAAATGTTATTAAACCAGTGTTGAAATCAGTTTGTGTCAGCATACCTTTTATCTTTTCATCGTTTACTGTAAAACAAAGTTGTGCTAACATTTTGGGATATAGATGTAGATCTATACTAATATTTGTGACTGTCATTTGTCAGTCTGTCTGTTCAGGGTTGGCAGCTACACTAGGACTGTCCCCGAGGCTGAAATTTGGTGTACAGGGGTAGCTCGGACTGAGGAGTAAAACAGGTTAGGTGGCATTGGCCTATCGCTGACGGTTTTGGCGTTACGGGCACAACCTAGGAAGATCCGGGTTATCCGCTAGTGTATATATATTGTCTATGCAGTTCACATCGTATTAATTGGTTATCTAAACTTACATGTAAATATACTGATGAATGTTTCTGATAATTTCACTGTTAAAAGACACTCTGGTAATTCACGGAAAAATTGTTTAAACATGTCAGCTACATCATAGGCCTGCAGATCATCAAAATTACAAGTATCTGAAAAAAAAAGATTATATACACTTGTTTCTTTGTTCTTTATATTTTACAAGAAATTATTTGAAGAGATTTACCCAATTAACCATTCATGTTCTTGCAGTTATAGCTTTATATGATTCTTTTAAAGTGTACATATCACTGCATTCAATAATAGTTCAATATATACCTGGTCGTTCTTCAAGATCATCTCTTAACTTTTGGATACGGGATCGTACCCCTGATTTACGAAATATGCCAACTGCATCTTCAGCTGTGTTTCGTAAATACCTCATTGCATACAGAATACACTGAGGTAATGGTTGACCAGTTCTTTGTAATATCAGGGAAAGAGGAATACCAAAAACATTTTTAACACTGTAATCTGGTGTTTTGCTTCTTTTCATGAACCTGGGAACTGTCCAGTTCCATCCTGTGGTACGATTAGATGGGCAAAATTTCTCCATGATGGCAGTTAACTTCAATAAGGACATCTTGCGAAGAACTAATAATTGTCCCACTGTTAAACTGTTGATCTGAAGATCACGACTTGTTAAACTTGGTCGATGAGATTTCTGGAAACTGTGCCATCGGATCTTCTTCCTCTTTTTATCACTGAAATATGAATGAAATTTACTTCAAAAATAGGTTTTTTTTTGTAAACCGTACCAATCCACATAGCCCCATAAGTTATTTTAACAAAAAATCTTTTTTGTCAAATAAATACAGTGTGCCTAAAACAGCTAGGTTTTCATAATGGTCTTTCATACCTGGGTGCTCTTGTTAATGATGAACCAACTCCTGAATCTCGTCTCTCACGATTATTGGCATTATCTAACGAATCATCTGGTGAGAACTCTTCGTTTGGAATGTCCTGGTCGCTCGGATCTACAGAAGATGAGGAGTTACTTGTCATATCATTATCCCCATCCATACTATTGTCGATCACAGAGTTAGCTTCTATTGGTGATACTGGGGAAGCTGGGGATGTTGGATCAGCCATGGAGGATGTATCAATATGTATCATACTCTTGTCTCTTGGAGATGTATCAATGTGTAGAGTATTATTATTGTTAGATGATGTATCAATATTATTCTGGTTAGCATCCGCTACAATAACTTTATCTGACTTCTTTTCTTCACCTTTCATCATTGACTGTACATCAACTGTAAGTAAAATAAAAAAAATCTGAACATGAAGAACTAAATTTATTAAAGATAATTCAAGTATAAATAGATTTTATTGTTTCTTAAAGCTACATTCCCAGAAAAGTATTTATCGGGTGGTTATTTCCAATAAAAGTATGGCAATTTTGGTATATATGGAAAGTAGAAATATCCAATCTTACTAGACAAATAATGGATTTCCTGAAAAACACTCATGGAGCACATACAGGACAAAAATGTACGTGTTTCCCTAATCGACAACCCAACTATTAGGAGTGTCTGCACGCGTGACGTCGAAGGTTGCACGCAGAGATTGAGAGCTTGATGTACATGTTGATAAACTTTATGAAGAGTTCGACGTACAACACTTTCTGAGATAAAAATCATGGAAAAAGACGCGGGCAGTGGATAATCCGAGAATTTAATTAGGCTTCGATATTTGTAATAAATTGTAATAAAGACAACATCGTCTTGTGTACGCAATGAATTCTCCTCTGACCTCACAACCGTGACACAAACATGACCTCTTTTGATCTATTTTTTATAGCCGGCTATTCCCTGACAATTGCAATGTTTGAGAAGGATTTGAAGCAAAATTATGATAAATTAATTAGTTTGAATATGTTTTTAGTCCAAATATATCATCAAATCACCCAGTTTGTACCCAGGAATTTATCTTTAAACCACCACAACCCAAATATTAGTACCTATATGTTTACCTTCATCTTCACCGTGTATTGCTCTGTTTAACCCATTTATATTTTCAAATAGATCATGTAAAATCATATCCAATTCTTGTTGAGCTTTTGACAGTTCTTCATTTGGCGTAGAGATATCCAATGTGGCTTCAGAAACATTATCCTCACTACTAGTATCATCTAATGAATCTAACATGTTATCATAAACACTGAACCGATATTTAGACATACTGGTGTCTAAGGATAATTGTCTTCGGAAATTAGAATGTGATTTAGCACTAAGAGTATCATCAGAATCAACAGTGTCCCGGTAGGAATCTTTTCCCAAACTAAAACTACCAGTTCTATAGTTGATGCTACAACTACCACCAGAATCAACATAACCATTTTGTAAATTAATAGGAAATTTTCCTGGTTGATGTCCTTGAGGTAACAAGAAAATCTCAAGCAAGTCTGTATCACTCTGATTTCTGCGACTAGTGTAGCGATTACCGGGAAGGTCTGCAGAGTCAAAAGATTGTGAAAGTTGTGACATGGCTGTGTGATATTCACTTAGGGCCGATGAATGATTTAATTGTGAGTTGGGTGAGCAAGCTTTAGAGCTTGCATCACCAGCACTATCTGAATGAAAAGAGGAATTCAACATGGAATCATCAGTCATAGATTGGTCTACAGATTTTGAATTGGTTGTTGGCAGTTGAGGTGACTCTTCACTAGTTGGACTTATGTCCACACAGTTTAAATGTTGAATTTTAGCTTGCATTGTATCACGATCTGCAATAACTGGTCCACTTATTTCAAACACATTTTTGTTGTTGTTAAATTTCCTGCCTCGACGCGTTTTAAAGCTCTCCATCTTTTTAAGCAAGTTTTTGGCACTTTTAATTTTTTCACTAGCTGCTCGTTTAAGGCGGGGACTGACAATAAATGCTGATGTACCAGAATCTGGTGTTGAGTGTTGTCGTTCTAACATATTATGCAGGTTGTGTTCATCATGTGGCATTTTGGAATCTAAGACAGGGCTATCTCCTGCTTGACTACTACTATCTTGATCGGTTAACAGACTATCGTGACTAGAACATGATTTAACCGTATCTCGACCTAGGTTAGGATCTATATCCTTACGCGACCATCTCCTACAATCTTTCTGGAATTCCCAACGATCACTTAAGGCACACAGATCATCATCATCTGACTCTTCAATCTGAAAAAGAAAATAAAAATTATTGGGTTTTTTCAAAAATATATAAATATAAGTCCCAATAACAAATGTTTATCAATGAAAATGATTAAAATATAAGATATAACATGTTTCTAGATTCATAATATAGAGAAAGATACATCTACAGTTTCAGCTGTCTGATAGAAATATGAGAACTAAACACAAATTTGAGAACTAAACACATGTATATTTATTATGACTCAATCCATTACAATCAGAAACCACAGGAGATTGAACCAGTGGGGACAACTTAAAAACTAAAGACAACAGATTACTCCAGTTGAGTAATCATTGAACACAGACAAAGAAGACCATAAAACATAGCTTTTCTTTGATCTCAAGAGCATTATATATTAATTGGGTAACATAGTGGAAGATGTGCCAGGGAATACCCCTGTTCTAAAATATTTTGATAATTGAAGTCATGTTCGTGTCACCTGACTTAGCTGACGCAGTACCTAGCAACGGGTGTGAAGCCGAAGGAGAATTCATGGCATATACAAGACGATGTTGTCTTCAATCGCTGTTCACTTTTCATAAATATTGAGCCTAATTAAATTCCAGATTATCCACTGCCCACATCTTTTTCCATGTTTTTTTTTATCTCAGAAACTGTTGTACGTTTAAGCTCAACATCAAGATTATCAACATATACATCAAGCGCCCACTAATGCAGACAATCTTCGCATGGAACCTTTGACGTCCCTCGAGCAGACATCCCTAATCGTCGGGTTGCCAGTTAGGGAAACCCTTACATTTTTGTCCTGTATGCGCTCCATGGGTGTTTTTCTAGTAAGATTGGATGTTTCTACTTTCCATATATACCAAAGTTGCCACACTTATTGGAAATAACCACCCGATAAATACTTTTGTGGGAAAGTAACTTTAATAATTAGATAAATATAGACATAGGATATATTATCTATACTCTACAGCATGTATATTTAAATAGATGTAATATTATGTTAAGTATAAAGGTATTGTATAAACTAGGATTTATTTGTCTGCATTATCACAAAAGGTGGAAGCGGAAATTAACATCCATTATGCTATTACTACTGTAGGATTTAATACAAACAAAGGCTTATGTATCCTTAATACCATGGAAAGAGCTATCTGGGTGGCTTAAAGATAAAAGCAACATACATACTTGTAAATAATCATTACTACAGTGCTTTAGATAATGGTTTTACAACGTTTACTGTTAGTTTGTCTTCTATAGATAAAGGTTTAACAACACATTCTAATGGTTTTTATAAACAATCTTTTCTTACTATACTTTGCTTCAAGATCTACTCAAACTAAATCTGAATAGAAACTTTCATTTATCTAATGGTATAAACAGGAATTATGAGTGATTTTGTTATTGGAATAGATAATTTTTTAATAAAATTTGGGGAATAAATATTTCCTATGTAAACCCTTTCTCCCCAAATATTCTCTAAGGCAAATTATCTACTTGCTTCAAAGAATATACATTCTTAATTACAAATAATCTCAGATGGAGGTTTGCATAATCACCCTTGCTTCCTTCATTTCTTTATGGAGAGAGGTTCTTTTAATTTATTTCAAACAGCAGGCAGTCAACCTTGCAGATTACAGATAGGAAAGATGTCCCTTTGACATGGAAACCTGGTGTCCCAAGGGTCCTCTTAGTTACGATTTATGACTTGACATAGTTTAGTTAATTGACACTAAAACTACTTTCATTATCAACATGCTTTTCAATAGAAAGTTTCTGAATAACCAACATTACTAATGATGCTTCTAATAATTCTAATAACCAGTGACCAGACATTATGCAAGGGATAAATCTGCCCATATCAGGTCTTTCTTTCTTTGGGCCTTAAATGTTGTATAAATTATTACTTAGACATTTATTAACATGACATGACCATAATCCACTCTTGGTGCCATTGGCCATTTAATGATTTAATTTAAAAATGGAGAAGCGAGACTAAGACTCGAATGACCAGTACGGTGGTTACACTCAATGCACACATCTTGTCAAAACTACAACTGATGATAACTTTGCTCAAAATAAAGTAATTTGAATGAAATTTTCAATATATTATTCATTTTGCATTATCTATTTTTGAAATATTATAAATCTTACATAATGTATCTTTAATAGAATATAAATGTATTCTGTGGTCATTTTATTCTATAAAGTGATATGTTGTGGAAACAATTTACAAACACATAGAAATAAATGTGATTTTACTTACCCCTTTTTTGGGTTGGGCATATATTTTCATAAGAGCACATTTGTTTAATGTGTTGAGTCTCCTGAAAAATACAGCATTAAATATTTAAATTAGTTTGCATGGTGAATGTTGGTAATAATGACAAATTTAACAATAAAAATAAATTAAATAAGGTATGTTACCTTAAATCAATGTAACGAGTATTGACATACTGTAAAGTTAGTGTAATGAATGTCCACCCAACAATTGCAACTAAACACTAGTTTAAAAATAAATAACTCACAAGTATAGTAGGTATCAAAATAACAACTCAATGTACTAATAGTAAACAACACATACAATAGTCTATTGGTCAATCTTAAAGCTCACTCTATTCATTGGTCGAGAATGGACAATAGACTAGTTATAGTCTGGCCAGTGGTCATCTATCAAAAAGATAGGGGAGGGCAAGAGAGGGGCTAATTAAGGTCAGACTTAATTCTTACTTATGAGTAGATTGGATTAGATTTGTCTATCTATTGTTTAATCTATAATTAGAAATGTATGTATATCCTTTGACTGTCAATACCAGGCACATGTAGATATACATAAATGTTAATAAACTATTGCTCATTAGTATGTAAACAGAATCAGGATTTCATTTCAAGGCAATTTTAGACATGAATTGACAATGGGTAAAACAAACAATATTATTTCATGTGTTTAAACCAGAATTATTTAATGTTGTGTTCAGAAGTATTGGTTTAAACAATTTAATACAAAATACTATTGTCTTCATTACCTTTAAAAAATATTTTTTGCAAAGTACTATTAACAAAGACATTTTCACATTAATCCGAATGAAGAACTGGGGATTATGGCTTATTACAGCTGGGGATATGTTCTATTCTGATGATACATGCAGGTTAAGTAGTTACAGTTAACCTACAAGATATCGGTCACAGTTCATGATAAATACAACAACTGGGGTGCCTTTTCGACATAATAGTTCCCCTTGTACCCCTGATATAATTTGGTAAGGTAGAACCATCATATAATACACATGTGATTGTGACCACCCAGCCTAAACCATACATCTAACACCCCCTCCTTCATCTACTAGTCAGGAAGGGGAAGTTTACTTACGGGTCTTATCCTTCTTTCCTACCTTGGTCCAAAACCCAATCATCTTTTTGTATTAAATCTGGTTAAGATAATTAGATTAATATTTTTACCCACAGGTTCTTGCTGTTCATTTCACTAGCCATTTATTTCTCCTAGAGTAAAACTTATTAAATTTTTCAAACCATACACAACCTAGTTACAACAAATATCCTACAAGTCATCGACATACCTGTAAACTGACATTATCTAGATTTTTATGATTTATGAGGTGACCTACTTGACATCACCTGCTATTTACATTATAATGAACATCTGACCACTACACTGGCCATTTATAACTTTTGGTTATATCATTTTAAAAAAAAAAGAACTAATTGCCAATATAGAAAATCAATATCAGCCTTAATATATTGCCACTAGTGTTGCATTACTATTGTATATTTGCTGTGTATATACTCGGCACTTATATACAGACAGAACATGGAACCTCCCCAAATAAGACTTTTTGACACACTACTATGAGGACATATTATTTATAGCTCCACCATGTTAAATAACTTCAGTACAGATCAGAATTTTGAACCTTTTTACTGTTGTCACCAGCCAGGTTATATTATTTCAAAGATTATTGGTTTATGTAGGTGTGTTTTCACAAATTTTATGGAATTTTGAAAGCCATATAGTTTTATCAAACGTTACATTCATTTATACACTAAAAATAACAAATTAACACACCAATATCTGTGACTGCCACAAAACAGTATTGGTGATATTCTGCTAAGATATATTATTGAAAAATGAAATATATTTTAAATGTTATTGTTAGAGAAAATAACTTCTTTTTTAACCTTATGCTATTTGCCTTAATGACACATTACTTTGTATGAGATTTTTTTTTAAATACAGCTTCTAATCTATACTTATTTCCTATAAAATCACAAATAATCACAAATATTGTATTCTGTTCAATAACATACTGGTAATAATGGTAATCAACATACTGGTAACTTGTATATTGGTAATCAATATACTGGTTGTATAATGATAATCAACATACTGGTTGTATAATGATAATCAACATACTGGTTGTTATTGGTAATCAACATACTGACTGTATATTAATAATCAACATACTGGTTGTATATTGGTAATCAACATACTGTTGTATATTAGACTAATAGTAATCAACATACTAATTGTGTATTGGTATACTTCTTAGCATGGAATGATTTATGTTTAGAAAATACATGTACAATTTCTCAAAATCATTTAGTTGTAACAACTTGTAATTAATATACTTTAAATGTTTGTATTGGGCTTTATTTGTTGTGGAAAAATCTGATGTCTCTGGGAGGTTCTATGATTATCTAAGGTTTATGGAGAAATGTACTTTAACAAAACAAAGCTGATCAGTCCATGTAAAGGTTATGAAAGCCAAAATATTGAATTATAAAAGCTGGTAATTGAAAATTCTGGCCACCAATGGACTTCTGATCTACAACTTAAAACTGTCCAGGGGTTAAATTCTGAAAAATATTGGTCATAAAATATTCTCATTGCTTGCCCACCCTAAAACTAAGAACAAACTCTATCTGTTGTACTAAGTTAAGTCACATTCTCCTGTATATAAGCTGTCATAAAGGAATAAACAATAATAGTGAATACATTTTTCCCAAATATTTAATCATATTAAAAATACAAGTTATTTCGGCAGTATTGTTTATTGTCATACGTCATTTAAGATTATTGTTCAGGTCAATTTCAACAATTCTTTCTGATATTAACCCATCTTTTTCAATTATGTTTTATATTCTACATCGTCCATTCCAACAATTCGTGAAAACTGAGCAATTCTACACAAATGGAAAAGTACACAAAAATATCAATAAAAGTGAAACATGTTTATCAATAAACTAATCCATGCTTCATTATGTATAACTACTCATCAATAACACTTTAGCATGATCAGTGAATAATCAAAATATTTGTGAACCAAGTACTCAAATAATACCACAAAATTCTACTAATCTTCTAACACTATGTATGTAATTATCTAGAACCGCAACCTTGAAACAAAATGACAAAAGAATGAAGGATTTAGGGCTTCACATGTAAGATGTGAATGAATATAATACAAAACCCTACAGGTAAACATTGTTGTATAAAATATAACAATGACAAATATACACCAAAATGACAATAAGATAGATAGCTAATCCAATTGAAGTATTTTGAGTCAGTCCGTTGGAGAACTCTGACCTGTTTGTGATTATTATGGTCCATGTAGACACAGGTGATCAAGTGTATTTATGTTAAACATATTTATAAGTTTGTTTATAAACAAAACAGGTTTCACATTATTATCATATGGAATAAACAACTCCAGTAGGGTGTAAGCCAAACTTTATTTTGAACCTTGGTTCCTTATTAAGGTCAGAATTAACACAGTAAGATCGCCAATCATAAATTAATAACTTCGTTTGTCATGTAATTGAATAATTTCAATATTAAGTTCCCATGGTGATTACACGTATTAAAATTTAATTCTGTTTTATTTCAATACAAAAGAAGCCGCAATGTCATTTGTATTCTGATAGAAAAACTTACCTCAAAGAAAAGAACCCTGGCATACTCCTTGTTCAAATAAAGCTAATACACATACAAAACATACCCTGAATCTAATCTAAATTTTTAGTATAAATTCTATCTTTTAAAATGAAAATTATCGAACAGATTTTTATTTTAACCCTAAATTACACACAATAAGACTGGTTGCCTAGCAACTGGTACATTGTTATCATGTATGACAAAGAAAAAATCCATGATTCAGAATTAACTTCAACTAGTAGGAAATGCCATGCAAGGCTGCTAGGGCTGATGGAAACTACAATATCAAACCTGACCTGATAAGGTCATGTGCCTATCTGGGGTGTGGCCATTTGTAGATGGGCGGTGTCAAATTAATAAACAATGGTAGTTTGTGAGAATACAGGTCTATAGACAACACAATTATCCATAATAGTTCTTGTCACACGACAGTGACATTATAAACTATGAATGTGACAACAATTTTGAAATCTGACATAATTCATTGATTATATCAAGTTTTTAAATTAATAGTTTTCATTGGTATGGATGCTTTGATGAATCAGACTCAGGCAGTTTAAATCAAATTTGTATTATTAATGACTTACAATTAATCATATTAAAATCTCTAGATCAAAAACAGATAATTATCTTTCAACAAAATAGAGTTAACACCATAACTGAATTTATGACTTAAACTTTGTCTACCAAATTATTTTACAAAGAAAGCTCAAGCAAAACAAGTAAATCTTACTGTATGTTGCATGTGTCCCTATAATAAAAATAGTGACCAATACATGCATATCCCAAACACACAGGAACGTCATAATTTCCTTACATGAGTAACTTCCTCTATATTTCGACTACATACCCACATACAAGGTGTGAACACTACCACATGATTATGATGATACAGCGACCATTATAATGCTATTGTTTTCCTTACTAATGTTATTTATAGATATTATTACTACAATATTACTCATTAGTTATAAATCAATAACATAAAATATTAATAGTTTTCAAACTATCAAATGTGGAAAGTAATTCAGAATAAACTTTACTAATTAAGATAACTTTTCAACACCTAGTTTTCTATAATAAAAAAAAAGTTTTTCAACTTCCGTGTTTGCTGAAACATGAATTAAAATCAAGATGCCAGAAAAAAATGATATCACCTCGGTGGAAGCGGACGTAAAATACAACTAACACTAACTAAAAAATGATGTAATCATAACACGAAATCTAATTATCAAGTCTTTTTTTGACAATATGTACTATCGATTAATTTTGTTTATTTAAAAACCATCTTACAATTTAATGTCTATCCATCCACTTACAATAAAGTTGAAGCTCATTTATCCACAATAATATAATGATTTCTAAGATTAAGATTAATTCTCACCTAAAAAGTGACTGTATGGAATCTCTATCCAGAAAATCATGGTCTTTTTCTACGACAGATATATCAATTGGAAACTGTCCATCTGAAAAAAACATAAATGATCTCAATAAATAAACAAACTTGAAATTATAAATAATACAACAATTATAGAATTAGAAAAAGAGAAATATAAGTGCAGGAGGACGCACTACACACAAACAAAACCAAAAAGACAAACCTATGAACAAGACACAAAATACACAGATATTGCAAGCAATAAACAACAATTACTATCAAATCAGGTGAATGGATCAGGCCTGCGGGGCCCAGATGTGAGTTTTCATTGCAATTATTCAGGCTTCACTCAATTTGAAAAACAAACCAATGTTGTTTGCGCTTGAAGTAAATATTTTAAAAGGGAAATAAAAATTATGATCTTCTAGTATAATTTATAGTGTATCTTAGATAATTTAAACAGTGTATATTATTTCATACTTATCAGTAATCCTTCACATATTATATTTTAAATATGGAGATTAATACCTGGTTTATCATTTTGTAACTTGTAAATGACTAAATAATATTAGTGTCTGTATTTTTGTATTTAGAATCACACCCATGTATCATAAGCATCCCACACCATGCTATTTATACTAATATGATTTATATGACTACAGTTGTGTGAAATTGTCTAATTCAAAACTCTACCACAAAAAATTATCTTTGATCAATGTTTGTCTGTCCTCTGAAAGATACATTTACACAGACAGGTAGGAGTAAGTATTAAGGTAAATGACCCCTGTTAATCCCCTTTACGCTATGGGCAGTTGTTTAAAAAGTATCTAATAGCTTAAAATACCACTTGTAAAAGTTTACCACAATATACAAGTTGACAATTCAAGCCAAACTACCTATACCAGCTTATTATATAGAAAAAAGACCAAAGCCCCTTTCATCATACAATGGTCAATATTAACCCCTTTAACCAATGAACTCTAGGGAATGTGAACCTTAAAAAGATAGAGGGTTGGGGGTTAACTCAGTATCGTGTATCTATTTCTTACTCCCACCACCTTAATTAAAGGGCTATTTGCTACACTATGCATGTAGGCCTACACCATTTCTCTGTGTACATCAAATAAAACCCTTTGTTCGTATGGTATTTTTTTGGGGGGACCTTTTATTACTTAAAGATTACATTTATATGTCAACCTACTGACTCTCTTTAAACAGACATATGTGATGCTGTCTTCCTTTTTAAAATTTATTTCCATAATAAATCTATTTTGTATTCAAAAGAATTTTAAATATTGATATGGTGAGTAAATATGGTTTTTTTTACCAACTCCATGCTATGATTTAATCCTTTCTATATTAAGAATTAAAGCGCTTGATCACCTTTCGGTCACTGTCCTCTTGTTTACTTGACACCTTTGATCAACTGACCCACGTCCACTAGCTTTTATGTAAGTTTTTATACATGCTTTGGTCTCTTTCTTAACTTCAGTGTGTCTTAAAGAATGCATGTTACAAAGATTTATATCACTGGATGAAAACAAACCAATCTTGTACAGTATTATCACATTATTTAATGGATTAAAATGTTAAGTTGCAAGTTCCTGTTAGCCTTGTCAACTGACTGCCTTCATCCCTATTATGTAATATAATCAGACTTTGATTTGATACAATGGGAACAATCCATAGGATTACAAAGAAAGTCATCTTTGAATGATGACTTCTTTGTGATGGTGAAACCGGAAGTGCTTTCAGACTCATTCAGAGAAACAATACGTCAATTGATATTTTTCTTTTTGTATCAGTGTCTATGTTAAATTCTTGAAATTCAATTTAGGTTTCTACAATAAGGCACATGAAAATGAATCCTCAAGCAACAATATTTTGTGACCAGTAATTGATATTGTTCATTTTTCTTAAGTTTACAATTGCATTGATCTAATTAGCAAGACAAACAGAATTAATTTCGTCAGCAGAGGACCTTAAATTAATGATACACACAAATGAAATGCTTGAAGTTGTTTACTGGGAAAATAAAATGCACCAGACCATGGTGAAATCTGAAGTACATTTATTACCAAATCCGCTTGAACATGACTATAGCGCCATAGCCAAACACTGAAATGTATTTTGCCTGATTTTAAATTAGTTATTTCAACAACGGTTTTGAATACTGTTGATGTATGGACATTTTTTGTTAATATTATAAAGGCAAACCCTATCACAAGGGCCGAAACGATTCACCAGTCTAAAAACGATGAATGATACTTTATAAGAAAATTTGAGGGTCAAGGTATATTTCACACTGTATCACAATATTTATTCAATAAATTAGGCGGTAGGATGTATAGAAATTACCTATCAGTTCAGAGTAAAGAAAAATCCTGATAGAAAAATAACATGTCCCGGCCATCCAGACTTCATATCATTGCAAAAACTGACCTATTAATCTTGTGCAAAATACGACCCAGACAATATTTTCCATTGGACAAAATACCAGAAGAAGCCATCAATTTTACACCAATTAAATCGCATATTACACTCATTTCGTCTTCACAATGCCGGTGGTCCCTACGAAAAGTGTGTTGAATTTTTGTTTAACATTCAGCAGCATTTTTTTTTTTGACTATTATTATGTCCACGTCCTGTGGTATTACACTGGGTGAAGTTGATATCAAACCAGCGGCTGCCAAACAAGATACGCCCACATTTCGCAAGAGATGGATAGAGAACAAAGCGATTTTTTTTGTACAATCAGGGGCCATAATCCAGAAGTTATGGTCTGAAATGTGTGAATACGAAATGGACTGAGATATTAGGGATATAAAGATATATTTTAAGTTTTATCAAAATCAGAAAAAATTTTTAACTTCTAGAGGGTCCAAAACCTTGGTATTACACACTATTTGTGTACAAGGAGCAGTTGTCAGGCAGTTTCGGTACGATTTTCACGAGATTCAAACTGAACGGTCATTAGTGTGTAATGGTGATACATTGAAACGTTTTTTAAAATCGGATAAATATTGTGAGCTCTAAAGGGTTCAACTTCAAAAGCTAAAAATGTGATTTTTTGAACAATCATAGACCATGATCCAGGAAGTTACATTCGGATATGTGCGATTAACGAAAGGAACAAAGATTATAATAATACATTTCAAGTTCCATCAAAATCGGATAAAAACTGTGACTTCTAGAGTGTCCACAATCTTTGTATTACATACTTTTACATTATTTGCATTAGGGAAGCAGCCATTTTGTCAAGCAGTTTTGGTAGATATTCACAAAATTACAATGACATTTTTAAACGTTTTTTTTTTTTAAATCCGAAAAAATTGTGAACTCTAGAGGGACCACAAGCTAATAACGCATTTTTTTTTGTACAATCAATTAACATAATTCAGGAAGTTATGATCTGATATGCACGAATATCGAAAGGAACCAAGATCTTTGGGTTATGCATTTCAAAATCGGATCAAAATTATGACCTCTAGAGGGTCCACAACCTTGATATGCCATATTTTTACACTATTACATGTTTTGGACTGATTTTCATGAAATTCGAACTCAACCGACATTACCGTGTAGCGGTGATACATTTGAATGGTTTTTTTTAAATCATGTAATAATTGTGACCTCTAGAGGAACCACAAGCTAAAAACGTGATTTTTCGTACAATCAGGGGTCATAATTCAAGAAGTTACGATCCCATATGCGCAAATATCGAAAGGAACCAAAATCTTTGGGTAATAAACATGCATTTCAAGTTTTTTCAAAATTGGATACAAATTGTGACATGTAGAGTGTCCACAAACAAAATGTGGACAGACGTCTGGACGGACAGGGGCAATGGTATATTACGTCCACATGAAAATGGGGCGAATAAAAACTACCTGCATCTTACCGATCAAAAGTGTGGAACCATTTCGGTTTTTCTGTTACCTACGTAAACGACAACAGGAAAGTCAATAAAGAAATTTCGATCTGCAAAATATGTCATACCTAATTACAATAGACAGGATTGTATTCATGTATGTGTACCTGACTTTTGTTTGACTTGACTTGATTATCTGTGTGATTGCATACTTAATTTTGTGTCAGATTATGTATTTTTATTCATTTTAAGTAAAAAATATGTGCCAAAAATATTGGTTAAATATTAATTTCATTTTATCTATTGATAAACAATATAATTATTTTTTCATTATTTCAAGAAATATTTGGTCAATTTCACAGTAAAAGCTGTATCATGATGCACCCTTATCGTTGGGCTAGGACATGATACTGTATCATATCATGGCACAGCGTATCATTTCAGTCCTACCTACAATTGTGTGTCATTCTGAGGATCATGATTTTTATTCATTCCTTTGTGTATGTTCTCTCATGTTATGCCAGCAAAGTAAGTCATCCAGTTAAAACATGTAACATTACACCCAATCGAGGTGTACAAAAAATATCTCTTCCCACAGGGGATACCTAGAAAGATGAAAACTTCATTCAAGTTCAGAAATCTTTTTATGATAATTTTAGACAGTTACAACCCCAACTCATATCCTGTCTTTACACAGTTGCTTAATTCTGTTTGTTTTACCCCATCCCAATAATGAACCCTCAGAAGGCTAGACCTCTTTATCCAAAGAGTCCATACACAGTCTTTTGTCTTTTATTGCACATTTAATGTTCTAATGAATACAATGACAAAAAATCTAGAGATTGGTCTTAAATTTCAGAATGTGACCTTAAAAGTGAATAATTTTCAACAGATTGAAATCATAAAAATGTTTCAATTTGATACTGTATTGTGTTTTTATTGATTATTTGGTTCCAAGAAAACCAACTATATAGCTTGTGTCTGCAGGCTACATATAATAACCTAATTATGTGCCTTACCTGAACACAATGAACAATAATGAATATCTTGAAATACAACATATCTATATGCAATACCAATATTTCAAATTATGGCTCTCTACTTCTGGATAAGTTTTTTTTTTACATAACCCACATATTGAACAGAAATGATGTTTAAAGACATCTTATTTTATGACTTGCATACAGTATACTAAATTCTACACGCCTCATGTAATGCATACATCAGCTCACCTCAGTAGACAACCAATCAGGAGTATATACTGGTAGGTGAAATTGACATTATGGAAAGAGATCTAAGCTGACTAAAACATAACTATGGGGGTTGGGGGTATGTTAGATTCATGTAGAAATGCTTTCAGTGGATTTGATCCTCATTGATATTGTGTCAATGGTCAACAGATTATTTGATAGTGATGCACAAAGCATAAGAAGTGTAGAATGTGACCTTAGATTCTTTGTGGTAAGGGTAAATGCCATTAATCAGGCCAAAAGGAGATACTGGAACCACAGGTCATACAAGTTAAAATTGAAACCTAAAATTATACAATATTTTTTGTCTTACCTTCATATAACTGGGCATACTGTGGAAATCCTGTTGCTCGCAACCACTTGCATGCTTCCACTGCTTCAATTTCTAAAAAATAAAAATAATGAAAATAGTAAAAATATCTAATTTACCTGGAACAGTTTTCATTTTGAAAGTGTTATTTTAAAAAATGTCAAAGAGTGAATTATTTTTGATGAGCATTGGCAGTAGACTGCATACAGGTACAACAGCAGATTCAATCAGCAATCAAATTATTGATTTTACATGTTGTGCAACAGCGATAATGATTTTCATACATGTAGGTATTTATAGTATGATGTATGTATTGTAAGATGAACTTGGTACAACACGTGTATATTGTTAATATGTAATTCGAAGATACCGATTAAAATAGGGTTTTTTAATATCTCATTACCATATAATTTGATCATCTGAATAGAACAGTTTTACATATTTAAATATTTCTTTTGTTTTTGGAGAGAGGACACTGACAGGTTCCTGTTGAAATAACTTATTACATTACCATAATTCAACCTCAGGCCATATGATTTTGATGCATTTAGTCAATTTTTTTTATGATAAGTAAATTCAACAAAATTATTTAAGCTAAGGAGATCCATATAATGCAGTAACATACAGGTATCATTTCAAGGCTTCAATTATCAACAAAACCATATCAAAGCCCCTAATCATAAGGCATTAAAAAGATATCACATGTCATGAAAATTACCACAATTCATATCTAAACTGTATGCTATGTTATTTAAATAAATAACCACTTCCGTTACTGATATAAATATTATATTCATATCTTAATGCTTTCTGTACAATTCAGATAGTGGGACTTGAGAAAAAAATCCACTATAAATATAAAGTTTAAGAGTTTGTATGCCAGTACTTCAAAACAAGATAAAACAGCAGTAGGGGTAGATAAGATTCCCCCAGAGAGGCAATACTCAAAGCAATTTCTCCAAACTCTAATCTCTAACACTTGACCCTTCGACCCAAAATCTTGAGTGACAGGACTAAGTAGGGACTGTTTCCTTCTTCAACAAATCATGAAAATACTGAGACATCTGCACTACCTGAAAACATTTATCTACCCTGTATATCTAGAAGCCAGTCTTAATACGATAACTTAATAATGTAATCATACAGAACACTCTAAAACTTGTGCTCCAGGATCTGCCATACCGTTATAACACTCAGGTGTTTCAATAAATTAAACAGACACTTGATCCTGGCCTTGGAAAAGTATTTACAATAAGTGGTTTCTCTGTGTTACAACTCAAGTATTATAATGTAAACTTTATGATAGTCTATACTCTACACCTACAGTTTAAAGTTGATTTGAATTATGATATTCTAGACTTCTATAAACTATATTATGTTTAAGATTATAGAGCTTAGAGATTTACATAAGGATCTCAAGTCTTATTTAATATGCAAAGGTAATACCATTTTGATAGGATAATACTCAAACCGCTTGGACCAAGCAGACACAGATTGTTTATTTTAATTGACCTAGGGTCAGTTTTGGAATAAAATGTGGGATTAAATTTAGAATTTTGCTTTAATATCTACCAAAAGATATTATAAATTGTGAATTCCTCGAAATAATTTTTTTTTTAGAAAGATAGAAAACTGACTGGGATTCCTTCCTAAAACTGCAAATTTGTAGAATATCACATGTACATAATTCAGATCATTAAGTATCAACAGTTATTGTTTCTAAAATTGTGATAAATCCTGTCTAGAAATTTACCATATGGAATAAAATATTTCACATAATTAATGTTTTCAGTAGACTTTTTTTTTGTCAAATAATACCAGAATTGTGTATATTATGAACATTTCAAATATTACAATCACCAGATATATTTAAAAACTTAAAAAAACAACAACAAACCTTGTGCATTGTATAACAGATTATTCCAAAATATAACTACATCATTCTATACACTAGAAATAACTTTTGTATGTGAAACTTTTGACATTATATATTATTATATGTATACCTACATAATTATTGATTTTGCTCATTCCATTTGAAAGTTTGAGCAATAAATTAATATCTCTGGCCTACTTCTGACATAAAAATCAATTTTACATGTATTTATCTAGACATATTGTGCTAGCAATGGAACAGATGGTGCTTATTGCATATTATTCAATTTCACGGATATCTAATATTCACATCCACCACTCCTTCAGTTTATTAATTTGAGTTTGATGATATCTTTTTAATTTATACTTAATACTTAAAACTTACTGTACATAAATTATGTATTTCCTAGATCATCTGTATTATTTATGAATTATGAGTGAATAGACAATAAAATAGTCCTGCAGGTGTTTCCACTTGAAATGAGCATGTAAAATATGTACAAATAATTTTTCAACAAGCTATGTAAGATATATCATTTCTGGCATTTCAAGAGTTCTTAAAGTACACTTCATATATCCACCTTTCAAATGAATGAATTAACACATACCTCTATACATTATCCAAGTTTTATCATTTTACCTAGACCAGCTGGAAACCATATACTATTGTATGATGCGATTAATAGTTTTGTAACCATCTCAATCCACCAGCAGTATAAAACACAAGTTCAAATCAGTTCAGAGTTAAGATTCCAACAGATGGTATATAGTAAGTGACGTGTTTTGTCGATGGCAATCATCGGCTGCTTAACCATCAGCTTAATATCCATCAATAAAATTGTAAGAGGACAACTGGGAAAGTACCAAAAAGAGGATTTTACAAATCAAATCACACACAAAACAAATAGAAATTATCACTAAAAAGTCTTTAATACAGGTACATTTAAGACAATTCAGATTTTCTATTTGCATGTGATGAATAAAACTTGGGATGGCTTGTTCTCACATAAATAATAGAAGTAGTTGTAAAGGTTAATTAATGGTTACAGGTAGAAATGTTATAGGTTTACTCTACATGTGATTAACATTAAACAACATCCAAGAACGCTTTATAATCAACACATTAAAACTTGACATACCAACACACAATATACTGTAGGTATTACCTACCAATAAAATGGGTTTCATTACAACTTATCATCTTGTAAATTGTACATCATTAACACAGAAGGTATTGCTTTACAAAATATGACATTAAAATTCCAAGGTCTAAAATTGTTAGTATCAAACCTCCTTGAAAGGAATTAATATCATTCAGTTCAAAATAAGGTACTTATTTGATGTCATATTTCTACACTTATTAATATTAACCCCTTAATTAATATCAGTCTTGCAAAACAAACCAAGACATAATATTTATTCAAAACAGAATTGTTACAATAAAGCGGAACGGTCACAAAAAAGCGATTTTTGACCTGGCATTTCCTTTCAAAGACTTAACAAAAACCTTCTTAACATCCTGTAACAGGAATGAAAATGCTCTTGTATTCATTCTAACTTTATGATTTTATACTTCTTCATGTAAATATAAATCATTTGTTACAACATGAAGGGAGTTGAAGTCAGAGAAAGCATTACAAGAACACATGCCAACAAGACAACATCAGTTTCGAACAATAATTTATAGTTGTGTGATGAACATTTATCACAATACACTGAAGATCTGATCATGGCATCGTTCTTGATCCAAATCTTCACTGTGCAGAGTACTAATTCTACCCAAAGATATTTGAGCTGATTGTAATAACCTTTGCTATATTTATGAGACCCAGACCGTTCTCAAATAGATTCCTAAATGTGTGAAGTAATAGAAACTAGGTACAAATAAGCTATTGTAGTCCCAGGATGTTATGGCGAGAAAACGATTGGCTAAACTCCAACTATTGTCTTTTTACTATTTCTATCATATAACTTTACCCAATATGATGATAGTTAAGCAGAACTTCTGAGGTTCTGTTTGCAAAACCATCTTATATAGATCACCTGAAATTTTCACCATCTTCCAGCAATTCAAATTTCCATTTCATTTATACTTTGTCAAGCAACTCCTAGAGGTATCCAAGACAATTTAACCATACGTATCCAAGACAATTTAACCATACACTTAAATTGTTTCACATCCACAGCTTTATAAAAGGTAATTTCAATGTGAAGTTTGATCTGGCTACATCTGATGCTGGCGGTTATAACAGTATACATTATCCCATTTTAAATAGATAATGGCTAAGAAACATATTGTATTATGATACTAATAGGTAAGGTAAACAAGCACGGGTGATAGCCTTGTGACCACTTGGGTACACAGGTTATATCTTAAGTGTATATGATTGAATGATGGATGGTGTTTGGTCCTCCCCACTCACATCCTTGACCTTGTTGTTTTGAAGTGCCCTTACTACATGAGCACAAAATGGGTTCATGCCTAAGCACTTTCATAAAGATACATAAATAGTACAAAGGAAATTGGGTCTTCACAATTGTTAACATTGTCATCTACAGTGTAAAATATTATAGAAAATCACCAACCCAACAGTAGAGTTGATGCCTATGCTACCCACACCTGCTCCTTAATCCCCCTAAAGGGATGAAACTCCTTAATTATTGCACATGTACCTTTATTATAAAGCATCAAAATTGCTTACCACTCTGCTTAACTAGACAAGAAAATACTCATTATCAAACTAAGTCATGGTATGGATGTAATGAAACCACACACAAAGTTTCATTACTCTAACTAAATAAGAATAAAGTATGGTGTTCCAAAGTGTTGCTCAATTTATTTACTTACCACAGCTTAGCCTGAACAGAAAGCATAAGCTATAACAGATGAACATAAAAAACTATTTCAATAGAACCCTGCTCTCTCCTAAGCTTTTGATATTGAACAATAATGATCAATTTCAAACAGCTCTATATTTTGATTAGAAATTTGTAAGCAGACAATTTGATAAAACAACTTCTATGAATGGACACCTTGTGAAAAAAAATGGGACTGTTCCTTTAAAAGCACCAGGATGTTTCACAATAATTTTATTTCTCAATATCTATTACACTATTGAAGAAATCTGTAGCTTAAACAGAGATGATCAGTAGATCATATTCTCTTCTCATAACATAACCATAAACACCATCAACATCAT